GAGGGCTTTGGTTGTGTCCGCAGACATGAAGTCTTTTATGGCTGCCTGGCATTGTGATATTTTAGCATTTAGGTCGGGCGTGGGTTGGATTTTGAATGCGGTTTCCAGTGAGCGGAGTTCTTTTAGGTTGTGTTCGAGGTTCGTTAGGCGTTGTTTTTTGTGGTGGGAGGCCAGGTTTTTGAGAGTTTTATGTGCTGCCCGTAGGATCCCCGGTGAGGTAACTGAGTGTTTGTTTAGGGAGAAGTAGTCTGAAATGGCTTGTGAGGTAGTCTCGCGGATCGTGGCATTATGTAGCAGCGTAGGGTCCAGTCGCCAGGACCATTGGCGTGTTACATTTGGTGGGTCAAATGTAAGTGAGATTTCGGCGTGGTCCGACCAAGTTATTGATCCAATAGTCGTGGATTTGATCATAGGGAGCATTGATGGGGGAAGTCAGGAACATGTCTATGCGCGAATGGGAGCATGTAGTCCTGGGTGGTGGGGTGTTGGGCCCTCCATACATCTATGAGACGGGTTCGTGTGAGGAAGGATTGGAAGAGTTTGTCGGGTTTAGCAGCGTGGGTTTGTTAGAGGTCCTGTTCTGCGCCTATCTATCGCTGGGGATGAGGTAGCATTGTAATCTCCTCCTAGTACTAAGTGGTATGAGGAGAATAGCGCAAGATGTGCCTTTATTGGAGGCTGATGGGGGGCTGATGGGGCGTTAGGAGCATAAATTGAGGAGAGGGTGTATTTTTGAGTGCCTATTCTCCCTGCTACCGTAATGTATCGGCCTTGAGGGTCGGCGTTGATTTTTTTCACTGTAAGGGGGCATGCTTTGTGTAATAAGATCGCTACTCCGTTGTGATTGCCTGTCGGTGAGTTCGCTAGGAAGTGTCTGTTGAAATTTCGGTTTTGTAGTGGGAATGCCCTGTTGTGTTGAAAGTGGGTCTCTTGCAAAAAGATGATTTGCGCCCGGGTTCTATTCGCCCAGTGCATAGTTTGATGGCGTTTAAGGGGCTTGTTGAGGCCCTTGCAGTTGATGGAGGTGCAAATCAGTGTGGGAGCCATGGATCTTCCCCTCCCCCCCCGTTTCCTCCCCCGGGATGTAGAGTCCCTGATTTGTGTGCAGGGAGACAGGGTGGTGGGGTAAAGAGGGTTGTGGAGGGGTGGTGTAGTACGGGTGGATGGTGTTGTCTTTGGGTAGGTTGATGAGTCAGCCGTGGGTATGAGGAGTGTGTCAGTAAGACCTGGTCTTACTTGGATATAGCCAGGTTAGTAGGGAGCGGAGTTTTGCCCAGCCTGTCTGCAAGGACAGAGTGAAGCTGGGGGTTAGGTGTGAAGAGAGGTGTTTGAAGTGGTGGGGTCGAGGTAGCCGGTATGTCCCGTTCCTCCCCCCGAGCCTGTGAGCTTGTAGGTAGCAAGTGATTTGGGTTTCGTGTGAGGGGTGTGCACGCATTAGTGTTTGAGATCGCTGTCTCGGGTGGTCAGTCCGATTTTTAGCGCGTCCTGTGGGTCCTGCCTCTGTCCTAGGCGGTCCTCCTTGGGGTGCTCCTTGTGTCTAAATCAGGTAGAGTATACCCTCTGTCTCTCCTTCTAATGGAGTCGTCCTAGGAGCCTAGGTGTGCCGAGGGTGTGGCTTTGTAGGGCGTGAGATCCAGGTAGTGGGTGTTGTCTGTCTCTTTGTCTCTAAGGGTCTCCTCTAGGTTCTAAGATCGGGTGGGGTTGGTGGGTTCTGTGGGGCTGCTGCGGGATGAAGGGGTGGGGATTAATGCCTGCGCAGAGTAGGATTGGATTCCTCTGTTTGCCCCGTGTACTCTTGCTTTAGTGGGGCTTACCGCGTGGGCGGTGGGCTCTATGTCTGCCAGTACGGTCAGGCGTATGGTGTCCTGTTTAACGGGGGGTTATGCTTACGTTTCGTGAGGGGGTTTCCGTAGTGGTGTGTAGTGTACCTCCTCTCCGGGCTGCGTTGGTCAGTGTCCCACTCTGCGCTGGGGTCCCATCCCCCCGGTTCATAGCATGTAAAGAGCTGAGGGGGTTGTCCCGGAGGGTAGTGTGGAGGGGCTGTGAGTCCTTTTTGGGGTGATGTGCATCTGTAGTAGAATATTTTGAACAACGGTTTGGAAATAATAAACAACATTCAATTCAGTACATTTTGCATTCAACTTCGTAACATATAAGGCGAAAGTTTAGGCATTACGCATGTCTAGCGGTCTTATCCTGACTGTCATCGTCTGAAGAGGGATTGCATATGTCATGTGGTATGGTGGGGGTTGGGCTATGGGGTCGGTCTGGTTGTGTGTCTCTGTAATTTAGGGTCTTCGTCGGGCCCCTTCCAGGGGTGTGTAGTCTTAGTGTCGGAGTTCAATGCAGTGGGAGTTTTTGCGTTTAGTGGGCGGCATAAGTCAGCTGAGGTCGCTATCAGGGTTTAGGCATCGGGGTTTCCAGTCATCTAGGGGTGGGTGTAGTGTGGTGTATTACGTCCTGGCGGGGGGTAATTTTGTCACGGTCACAGAACAGTACAAAGTTATTTACCACATATTTTACATTGCTACTCCCCTCATTCCTATTGATGGCTGCCTTGATAAACGTGCGCTTGTGCGCCTACGAGACCAGACCATATGCATAGCCTGTTAACAGTTACAGTAACCAGGGGGGCGTGGAGTCCACTACTTATTAGGAGTAGTAGTGGGGGGGTTGTGGGACTGGTTGGTACGCCTATGCCTATGTTTTCTTTTAATGCATATGGCGTGATATGCATCCATGCCCCCTTGGTCTCATGTGCGTTTCGCCTATACTGTTGCTAACAATAACAATAAACATGCGCTTGTGCGCCTTTGAGCATAACCTATACATTATACATGTACATCAAACATTTAACTTTTCTTTAGCTACGGGGGGTATGGATGGGGCTCATAGTGAGAGGTTATGCGGGGCTGGTTTGTGGGCCTATGCTGATCGTGTCAGCAGCCTGTTGTGGGATTCTCCTCCGTGGCTGTGGGAGGGTGTGCGCTGGTGCCCCGGAGGCCACTTTAAGTCTAGGGCTGGCCCGGGTAGTGGTTGGATGGGTCAGATCCCGTATGGGGTAGGGGCTATGGTGGATAGGCCACGGGGAGATACCTGGTATATTCATCGCTCCCCTAGGGAAATGCGGGTTGTTCCTCCTGGGTGGTGGGGGCTTTTGGGTGGGGAGGAGAGCCCTAGGACCCTCAGTGGTAGCGGTTAAAGTTGCTAGACAGTTTGAGGGGGGTAGGGTGGGTCTTTTTATTTTTTTTGGTGGGGGGGGGTTTAATAGGGAGAAAACCTGTTTAGAAGATGGTGTTGGAGGCAAGTCCTGTTTTTAAAGTCCGTGTCTCTGTACTTCTCCTTTAAGTGCCCGTCTGCAAGGTATTCCTTGGTGTTTGAAGCGGTCTGTTCCTTTGGGACAGGCAGTGAGGTGTCGGTTCTTCCCTGTGTGTGGGACGGGTGGATCTTTGTAGGTCCCTGTCAGCGGGTGTTGGTATTTGGAGGAGTGGGACTCCGATGTGTTCGGCAAAGTCCATCATGTCTGCAGGGTGGTGGAGGGTGTAAGATTGATTGTCCTTCCGGACCATTAGTTTGAACGGGTGGCCCCACATATATTTCCAGCCATGTTGGACCAGTGAGATGGTGAGGGGTTTAAGTTCCCTTCGTTTTCTCAGAGTCGTGGGTGCCAGGTCTTGGAAAAATTGTAGCAGTTGTCCTTGATGGGTCGGTGACATTGCGCGGGCTGCGGCCATCAATTTTTCTTTGGTGGTGTAGAGTAATAGCTTGACGATCACGTCTCGCGGCATGGCCAGGTTAGGTGTGGGGGGACGTAATGCCCTATATGTGCTCTCTCGATCGTGAGGTCGTGGTCGGAGGCCCCCGGCAGGAGGTTGAGGAAGATTTCTTTGGTAGTAGTGAGTATGGCCTCCGGTGGGACTATTTTGGGTAGGCCTCGGATCCTTATATTATGCCTGCGGGATCGGTTATTGAGATCCCCCAAGCCGTCTTCCAATTGTACTATCCTGCATGGTGAGGATGTCTAGGTTTTGGGCTTGGGTTGTTTGGGTCAGGCCTACGATGTCTTGTTCGACCTGCGTTGTGCGCGATGTAAGCGCTTCGATGTCACTTTTGAGACCCGAGATTTGCTTTTCCAGTTCCACCGCGGTATAGGCCTTGATGTCTGCGGAGGTTTCTCTGAGTAGTTTTCTCAGATTGCCCATGGTTAGAGGAGCAGTGATGTCCTCCGGGTTCTCGCTGTCCTCAGAGTCTGAGTTCTGTGTATTTTGGGCCGAAGATGGCCGCCCTTGCTCTGAGGCGCGGAACAGCGTGGCCACTGACGGAGTTTGCTCTCTCCGTTTTTTGTTGCCACCCATGGTGGATTTATGGTGAGGGCTGTGGGATTAATGCGTGGTGCTTTTCTTGCGTGGATGGCTTCTTGTAGTCGCTGATGTAAGCTGATTTTGTGCTCGGGGGTGAGGGAGCTCAGGGATCACACGTCCATCTTCATCGGTGGTCAGGCTCCGCTCCCCAACACAGTTTTACTTTTAACAGTGCAACTAATAGTTTTTATTTAAACACTGACTGAATTTGGGGAAGTCCAGGGAGAAGCAACCTGTTTTGTAGTGTTAAACATATATGTTCAGTCACACATCAAGGTAATTTGGAGTGCTCGGTTTTATCATTATTGGGCACACATTCTGCTTTAGCTTATATAGACATAGCTAGAAAGCACACATCAAATTTGATTGCATTGTCATTCTGCTTGCAGCTGAATTCGTTTCTAATAAGTTATTCTAATCACAGCCACGCACACACAAATGTTTAAGCACGTTCAGAGAAAGCTATATGAGAGAGCTACACATGGTGACATCATGGCAACATCACATAGAGCTGCAGCAACAGTGTAACACTGGGGAGGGACTGATAAGGCGGCCTTTTTTTCTTTTTTTAGCAATATTAATGCAAAACATGAGAGAAAAAAATAAATAAACACAACCTGAACTTTAAGTGTGGACATTGTGCAGATCTTTCTTTTAATCAAATGACTTAAGATATAGGTATTTAGTGGAATTAAGATATCTCAGAGAGATGCTACAAAAACTAAAATTAACAACTCTAGTCAACCAAATAGGTTTCATATCCACTTTTAAAGTCCATGCCTCTGGTTCTCAATTTATTGACAGTTTTTCTGGCAAATTACATTAAAGATCCTTTGTATTACACGTGTCCTATGAGACCATTCAAAATACAAAAAAAAAGAAAAAAAATATGTTTAAACTACTAAAAAAAAAAAAAAAAAAATTCCAATGAATTCTTTGCCAAGGAAATAAAAATTGGAAGAGAATGGATAAACATGCAAAATAATGGTATTTACTGAGCTTTCAGTATATAAAAAATAAATAAAAGTTCTGATTATCAAAAATGAGATTTGGTCAGATTACAGATGATGCATTGAAACTAGAAATTTTCATTGATCAGTTAACATGCCAAAGCAAATGTATCATTTGAACAAGAAGTCATCTTGGCAACATTCAGTTAAACCCTGAAAATCTCAACTGAACCAAAATATATGTATATAAAAAAGTAGAAAGCAAAGGAATGTGCCAGATCAACCTCCAAAAGCATGCATGCAGGGTTGAATAAAAAAAACAGTAACAGAAATCTAAACATTGTGTCCTTTTACGGAGATATGTTGTCATTGACCTTGCTTCTTAGAAAGATATCTGTAAAATAAAAAACAACTGGGTGACTGTAGGTGCTAAGTAGAGCTTTATAACATGCTTATGACATCACAACTTAATTGTAGGGAATAATGCACAAATAATGACAGACTATCAGAACAACCTTGCTATCAATTCAAATGCAACCTAAAACACACACTTTACTGTAAACAAATGAACTAGAATATTAAGGGGGAAAGAACAGTCTGTAAATTAATAAACCCTTAAAGGGTAACTGTCCTGTTCATGGATTTCTAAGATTATGTTTACTTATCCCTATATTTAACAAATATGTATTTGTGAGGTGTAAAAACCAAAATTAAATGTAGAAATACTCAACTCTTTAACCTGGAACTGTGCACCTCCATTTTATCTTACTGCCAATCATTATTTTAACATCTGTCCTTGGCACCTGGCAGTCAGATCAGTAGAAAAATCAAACAGAGAAGAGCCAAAATGAAACAATGTTTCCTTTTAACCCTCTCATCTACAAGATTTGTCATGGCTTCGCCTTGCCTGAACTGGATTGGAATGTAATTTGCGAAAAATTAACTATATAAGAAAAAAAAAAAGCTAACCCAGTTTAACGTGATTTTCAGTGTTTTATTCATTAGTGTAAATTCCCTTTATATAGTTATAAAAAGAGTTCACTGTTAAATGGTTCTAGTAGGAAGAGCTGTTTCTTCAGAATTATTTACACTCAAACTAATTTTTAAAAGGCGTATTCCATACGTCTCAGGGTGGAACGAAGATAAATATTTGCCATATACACATCACATAGAGAGGGATGAATCTGTTTATTTATACAGATACGTCTGATGGCTGGCCCTGTGGTTTGGAATTGTGTTGCATGCATCTACAGGTTTCACAAGAGTGACATTTCATATAATTGAGCCCCCCTGCTGGTCATTGCAATCATTGCCACTAGGAAACACTTCTGCCTTATTGAAAAATGTGCATCAACAAATACTTTATCATTGTAAACACCTACCAATTAAATTAGTGAACATATCCGGTCACAAAATACTTTACTGTTGATGCAGTTGCGCTACAAAGGCATGTGTGGAATTCCTCGCCCACTATGGATCAGCAAATAAAGACATTTCACAATTGCTAATGTTGGAAAGGTTGTCTACATTAAACCTTTGCCATCAGTATTAACCTTGTGTGTTCTGAGGATATGCCTGCAAGTCCTCACTTACTTCTGGCCACATTTATTATATGGCGTGCTTCCTGTGAAGCCCTCATCTGCATTTTAAGAATTTGATAGCAAGCATTTTAAGTATGAGAGATCAGAGATCCTTCATTTGAAGAAAAGACTGGAGCGGTCAACTTAGCTTATATATTATCTTGTTTGCAAAACCCCATGGGGAAAGCATTGGATTGGCTAAAAGCAGCAAGGAGGCATCTTTATGAGGAAAATTCAGCATCCCCATGCAGAGCGTGGAGAGGCTGAATGACAGTGCTTCTTACTGTGCAGCATTGAGTCAGGAAGCACTTCCAGTGGCCATCTGAGGAGTGGTCACTTGGAGGTGTCCCTAGGGGCAATGTAAACACTGACTTTTCTCTGAAAAGGCAGTGTTTGCATAAAAATGTTTGTATATAATGATTATACTCACCAGAACAACTACATTAAGCTGTAGTTGCTCTGGTGACTATAGTGTCCCTTTAAGACTTAATGCAAAATTATGCCTCATATATTTATTTCATAAAAATATATACTTTTCCTCTCCTGTCTTGCTTTTCTAGTGTTTAAAGGGATACTATTTAAAGGGATACTCTAAACTCCAATATGCCTTTGGCTTTATAAAGCAGTTTTGATGTATTCATCATGCCCCTGCAGTCTAGCTGCTCAATTCCATTGTCATTTAGGAGTTAAAATCACTTTTGTTTCTGTTTATACAGCTCTAATCACAACTCCCCTGGGTGGGACTCACAAAGCCTACATGAAAAATTGTTTCATTTTCAATCAGACAGGACACTACAGCGTGTTTACTTTAGAAGTTTGGATCTCCTGTTAACTGAACTTAACCAACAGCGGGAGAAAAATTAAATAGACTGTGCAATAAAGGAAGTTTAAAGGTTAGATCTCTCTTTTCAGGAAATGAGTAGGGAAACCGTGTAGGTCACATACAAGGGAGGTAAAATCGTGGATGCATGAAGACAGTGATTTAATTTCTAATTAGCAAAGAATTGAGCAGTGAGAATGTAGAGAGAGGTACACTATACACAAGTTATTTTGGTGTATTTAGTGTCCCTTTAAATACAAGAATTTAAATAATGTGTTAGGTGTAGTGTGAGATCCTGACACCCTCTCCATTATATTAACTCAAACAATGATGCAAAAAGGTCTATCCTTTACGTATTGGGTACATTCATTAAAATAGAACCAATATTTATACGATATGTTGAATATTAAGAGAGGAAGCATTTTATGCATTGTTATCTTTATGTGACCAAGTTCTCTTGTCAAGATCTAATGGCGCTTTTATGAAAAATAGATGCCTACCATGGTTAGTGTGATAACCTGAAAAAGAACAGAGTGTATAGGGTGTTGAAATTATTCAACTCCCCAAACTCTGTAGAGGTTACAAGAGGTATAGGGGGCTTAACCCCAACAAACTATGAGAAAAAAGAGAAGAGAAGAATGAACTGGAAGACCACCAGAATAGAATACAAAGGTGGAGCACCTGTTCATTCATAAATCTATACCTCTCGAAAATATATGTACTATATACAACGGGTACTAAGACCTTTAATAGAAAAAGACATACATATAAAAGTTATATATATAACTGGCTATAAAAACTGCCAGAAAGGGATTCCCCTGAGGGATATTTCAAGTGAGTGAGATAAATATTCACAAAAACTAACTAGAACAAATCCTCATTGTAGGTTCTATAAATTACCTGGCATAGAAAACACTGTTATAGAAAAAAACAGAAGAAAAGATATTATGTATACACAACAGACTTATCCAGGACTTAATATAGAGGCAGAGAGGGGAGAGAGAGGGGAGAGGGAGGGGGGGGGTAAATATAGGGTTAAATGAAAAGAGTTACACTGATAGTAAGCGTGTCCCTAAACGTGGTGAGACAGTTGCAAATAAGGGTAAATGTATTAACAACGTGCAGTATGAGTAGTATAAATGTTAGGCTAATAACAAGAAATGTTTGCTGCCAAAAACCTCAAAATGCACCATTAATATACCCCAGCTGACCCTGAGCTGCTAGCTGACTCCCAAATTGCCAGGGAGATAAAAATAACTACCTGCTGCTTCAAGGCAGCCTAAAGATTATCCCTATTACCCCAACTCCCATCTGCCTAAACAGACCCTAAACGGTCATAAAAAGAGCAAAGAGGATGTCTAGTTAAATAAGAAAAAATAATAGAAAACACAAAAGAAACTCAAAGTGAATGCATCGGCATTGCTAAATTGCTCGACGCGCGTTTCGGCGTAACTAGCCGCCTTTGTCAAGAGCTGACTCTTGACAAAGGCGGTTAGTTACGACGAAACGCGCGTCGAGCAATTTAGCAATGCCGATGCATTCACTTTGAGTTTCTTTTGTGTTTTCTATTATTTTTTCTTATTTAACTAGACATCCTCTTTGCTCTTTTTATGACCGTTTAGGGTCTGTTTAGGCAGATGGGAGTTGGGGTAATAGGGATAATCTTTAGGCTGCCTTGAAGCAGCAGGTAGTTATTTTTATCTCCCTGGCAATTTGGGAGTCAGCTAGCAGCTCAGGGTCAGCTGGGGTATATTAATGGTGCATTTTGAGGTTTTTGGCAGCAAACATTTCTGGTTATTAGCCTAACATTTATACTACTCATACTGCACGTTGTTAATACATTTACCCTTATTTGCAACTGTCTCACCACGTTTAGGGACACGCTTACTATCAGGGTAACTCTTTTCATTTAACCCTATATTTACCCCCCACCCTCCCTCTCCCCTCTCTCTCCCCTCTCTGCCTCTATATTAAGTCCTGGATAAGTCTGTTGTGTATACATAATATCTTTTCTTCTGTTTTTTTCTATAACAGTGTTTTCTATGCCAGGTAATTTATAGAACCTACAATGAGGATTTGTTCTAGTTAGTTTTTGTGAATATTTATCTCACTCACTTGAAATATCCCTCAGGGGAATCCCTTTCTGGCAGTTTTTATAGCCAGTTATATATATAACTTTTATATGTATGTCTTTTTCTATTAAAGGTCTTAGTACCCGTTGTATATAGTACATATATTTTCGAGAGGTATAGATTTATGAATGAACAGGTGCTCCACCTTTGTATTCTATTCTGGTGGTCTTCCAGTTCATTCTTCTCTTCTCTTTTTTCTCATAGTGTGATAACCTGTAAATGTTCGCATTAGTGGTCAACAAGCAGTTATTCAGGTTTTGCAGAACCATATATTCTACAATGCATTTCCATTCAGTCACCTTCATGTAAATTGTATCTGACGTGGGGAACAGCTATCTTTTTGCTATCCCTGTTTCGTATATACACAGAAAAAAATCATACATCTCATCATATCTAATACAGGAGTAGACTATGCTTACCTTTCCCAATGTTTGTGATTAAGCTCTGAAAGGTCATCTAGTTTTGCTATTTCTTTAAGGTATTGAGAAAGTTTCAAGAGTTCTTTATCTTTGTCCCGGTTCAGATGTGCTTTCATGAAAGGTCTGATCTGATGAAAGAAACAAAAATATTACATAATTATCTCTCAAGAGGAGTAGGAGGCCAATATCAATCTCTCAAAGTTATTCAGCAGTATCACTGCATACCTGCTGCCTTAATCAAGAAAGCTATGTAAAGTACAGATAACAAGTCTAGTCTGCTTACACTAACATCATTTGTTGACGCAACATAGCGACGTGATAGAATTCAAAAACTATTAGTCAATTTGCTTTTTGAAAATGTGTTTTCAACAATTCCATATTTAATAGTCACTTAAAAAGTGTATGTCATTTACATCTCCGAGTAAATTTACACTCTAGCTAGAGTTTATACTAGCTAGTTAAATGCTGCCAGCCCTAGAATATAAAATAAAGCTATTTAGTAGAGTAATTTCCCCCGATATGCTGGTGTCGCTGAGGTCACCACGCCTCCTCTGGCTGAGATCAACAATACGCAATAATCATCCAATAATATTCAATAATTATTTATTCAAAATGCTTCTTCATGTGCACCAATTGCCATGCTGCGCCAATCTGCATGGACTCAATTCATCTCTATGGGGAAATATCAGCGTCTCCATGAAGACCATGGAGACAAGGAATGTCAGCCCTGCAATCTTCCAAGTGACAGCAACTAGAGATGGCGTTAGACAGTAATGTAATGTAGGCAGCAATTCTCAGAAAAGGCAGTGTTTACATTGCTGAGACTACAGTGAAGATGGTTTGTTATTCCTAATCTGAGCAATTCACATGCTTCCTGCAAACCCTTAAAAGCCCTAAGGAAACATGAGCACCTCACATGACTCATGACAACTGGGTTATTATTCTGTATCACTGCCAGACTTCTATCAGGCAGTAAGCCATTCCATATAAGGCAATGATGCCATATATTGTCATGGAAATGAAGGCTGCCTTGGGGGAAGTTGGTGCCATGCAGGGGGTATATCTCTGGCAAACAGAGAGACGGACTGGCCCCACTGGAAATGCATACCAGGATGTCGTAACTGGGGCAGAAGGCAGCATGTTAGACTACCTTACAACAGACAAGTATAGGCAACAAGACAAGTTGGACACACACGAACAGAGGGTGCTGATGGACCCATGAGTTTACATTCTAGGTAAGTGGTTTTCTACAGCCACTAAATGTCCACAAACTGAGTTACTTAACTGTAACCCAGAAACAAGACTGTTTATAAGCCGCAGCTCTTACTAGTTAGGAGCTCTCAAGCAGATCCAATGCTTCTCAAGGAGAAGCGTTGCAGTCCTATGGCAAATGCAGCAATTGCTGCCCTGCATCAATAAAATGCTTTTCATAGAGAAGCAATAAAACCATTTCGTCTCTATGAACAGTGTTGCCTTCTGCTTTGAAAAGTGCTTCAAACCAGTAAAGGAAGAGAAGCCTCCTAACTGTCCCATTGACAGCTGAGGGGTGCAAACAAGGAGTTTATGAAAGTGTTGATTTATTTTGAATTCAGCACTTTAACAAAAATAACAAAATAAGAAAGAAGGGAATTCCAGCAAGCTCAATTGCTTTAGAGGTCTGGAGTGTTTCTTTAACAGATTAAAAAGACCGTGGTATGACCTATATTGCAGATACAGAATCATTTAGTGTGTGCCCGTTCAGCCATACATTGTCCTATAGCAGGTTTGTGATATAATCTTCACTGTGATACAGTGATGGACTAACAGTCACAAGCCAACACAGGCACCAGTGTTGCTCATGTGCTTTAATTATGATAGTGATATAATAGATATAATTTACTGCAGCCATTCAAGTAATTTATGGAATGCATACACCCACGAAGCATATACATCTAAAATTTAAGTGACATATCACATGCACATACTCTGGCCAGTAAGTCAATTGATGTTTGCCTAATAGCTAGTTTGGATTATAAGAAGATAATAAATCAGTCCCTGCTAATTGGTCGTAGCTTACCTTTAGTCCATTTTGAGGATTCATCAGGAAGTTCCTTCCAATGTCGTCAAACATTATAGTGTTGTGTTTGCTATAATATTCTGAATATTTTCCCCAAATTACTCCAAGAGGCTTAACCTGCAATACAGGAAGACAAAAAAGCATGTTTCATAAATGTCTATTTCAATGCAAATTGAATTCACCAATAGCTGCTGTGCCATGCTGAATTCACCAATAGCTGCTGTGCAATAAAAAATATAGGCTTTCTATGGACTAAACAACAGTCTGCTACTTCTTATAAGAAAAGAAAAGGTTTTGAGCACAACCAGTAATGTCCAGTTAGCCGTTTTGTTGTGCTAAAATTGATGACTTGCAGTTCCTCTTTAAGAGAAAAGGAATTCAGGACAACTTCACAAGATTAGTTAAGATGTTGTATTGAGAATATGAACGGAAAGGGAGAACTCATATGCAGCATGTACTAAACAATGGCAAAAAAATATATATAAATAAATAAATACATACACACAATGCATATCCTAGCTAACTAGGGGAAGCATATAATTTACAAAGAACTCATTGATCTATCTACGAACAAACTTTGTAAACATCACATTGCTATAAATAAGATGTTGCATTTGAAATGTTGAAATCTTACTGCTGTATCATACTTGTGATGTTCCATCTATGAAATGTGCGTTGATGTCATATTGTCAATGCCCGCTGTCTTGCTGATGCAGTAATGCAACTCCAGTGTAACATGACTAGCCCACTCACCTGAACATGCTGATTTTAAGCCTGAGATATTCTACCCCTACCCATGACAAACTACTCTGAAGATTCTCGCCTCACTGGCAGCTCCCTTGGGCACCCTTCTACCTGTACTACTGTTTTATTTACTATTGTTGTTGTGACTACGTGTAACACACTTTCTCTTTATCTGTAATACTGTACTTGTACACACTGTAATATGTGCCATAACTTTGCTGCCCTTTTGTTTATAAAATAAAAATGGTCAAATTGAAGAAAAAAAAATGTTGTGTGCATAACCTAGCTTAAATGGACACTCTAGGTACTACATACAACATTTCATCATATTGAACTGGTTATAGCGCCTGCAGTACACTGGTGCTGCTTCTCCATCCATGGCCGAGGCCCCACTGGAGGTATGGCTAGAGGAGAGATTGCACACTTCCTTCGAGTCATACCAATTCATACCAGAAATGGGCCATGTAATAGGCTAAAAATGGTCACAGTCAATCACTGCGGCTCATGCTAATGCTTCATCATTACCTAAAGCAGCACAGTGTGAATGGGGTGCTAGGGACACTTTAATAATTTACAATGCCTAAAGTGTAGACTGTAATTTTGTTAGTAATGGGCAATGGGTGAGCATTCTGCGTCATGAATGACTGCAGAACGAGTTGTCAGGACGTGAATGGAGCATTGGAGGCCGAAGTGGGACTCCCGGGAATGCGAGGTGCCGCTATAGATATATTCCCCCAAAAACACATTTTCTTAGAAATTATATATCAATCTGTGGTCCGAGACAAACAGTTAATTATGGTTTTCCAGATGTTTACTAGCTTGTTTTCCTGTGATTCTCAGACAGCCCTTTGGTACCACTTTAAAACCTCACAAGAAACACAAATTAAACAGGCAGCATAGGGTCTTACATCAATTAAGCCTCTTCTCGGGGTGTGTACAGTGATCATGGCTGCACTGTCCAACATGAACGTAATCTTGTAATTGGCATTTGTACTGACTCCCAGTTCCTAGAGGCAAAAAATGTTTTAAAAAAAATAAGACAACAGTCAGCTAAGTAATTTTAAAATATATTTCCACTTGTTTAGTGCATGACTAGAATCAAATCCATTACACAATCATCTAAAAATAGGTAGTTTTGGTACCATAACAACTACAAATTGGGGGACAAAAAAAAAAAAAAAAAACAACAATCCAAAATGAATACACCAAATATCTGCCCTTTTGATAAAAAGAACTCTCCAAACACCTAAAGCATATAATTTAACAATAAATTTTTAAGCAAAGTACAGTGGGTAGATAAAATATAATCTCATAGTCTATAATTCAAAATTAATCACAACGAAGTCAAGGGATTAAAGACAAAGAGTTGTTCCTTTAAAATTGATGATGCCATGCTCTATTGTTTACATCTAGACCTGATGGTTGCATATGACAGTATTATGTTACTAATAAGCTGTTCAAATAGCACTAAGTTTTGTCACCGGCAATGAACACATGACACATTCTGAATTTCCATTCAGCAATGGCTAGTGGGCAAGTGGAAATGTTGAATCCTGATTCTATATGTGATGACTGCTACAAGGGATATGAATATTGTATGTAACGAGTGTTTCACGAGAGCTGCATCTCTTAGTGCCTTCATACGTTAATTCTTTAAAAAGAGCAAGCTTGAAACATTCATGGTACCAATAAAGTTTCAGAGCGTTGCCGTTGTAACAAAAATAAGGGTATTCTAATCAATTTCCTCAAAACAGAGAAATTAACTTTATAGTTGCATATTTCAGTTCATGCTAAGCAGATAATTGATCTTGTAACTTACTTTCATTTTGGCTTCAATCCATTTCATACTGGTTGCAGCTTAAAAGGCAAAGCAATAATTAAAAAAAGAAAAAAAAAAACACATGTTAAAACATTATTTATTTTTAATATATTCAAACATTCTTCAACTAAAGAAAAAGTTATTCAGCTATTTTTGCGCAAGCTTGCTTATTTTGGTCTAGTTTTTCCAGCATCTTCTTAATGTGAGTCGTGTATGTTTCCATCATTAATATACTTAGCAACAGCTGATGTACAGGTTATGGTGGCCATTTAAGTCCCTCCAACTCAGATTTCACACACACAAGGATTAAAATTGCTTCTCGTTAATACTAATACACAAGTAGAGATTCACTCCTGGTGGGTATGCTATGGCTTGCAGTGGCTATGTATCATTGATAGATAAAAGAGGTGCTTTCACTGCACTGACCGAGTAAAAAAACAGTAATGCAACATTGAAGCATATAGCAAAGCATTGAATTTAATGCTTCTTATGAAATGCAATAAATGTGTGCATGGGGCGCTTGACGCACATATGCATTAGGTCCCCAATGCTTCTCAACATGGAGTTTTGGATCCATCGCTTGAGGAGATCATGCCTTCTCAGTGATGTCCCATGATGTGGAGGGTTTAATTGTAAACTTATCAACAAATTTCTTAGCTTGGTTTTATAATACAGTTGTACGCATGTTACAAAGGCCTGGAAAACTCCTGCAAAGCTGTCAAAATGTTATCGACTTAGTTTCATGACAAAATAAATGATCTTCTTCAAAATGCAAGCATATGGTCTGTATTTATTTCAACATATAACCAGTCAGCGGATTTGAATGACCGCCACACCATTAAAAGGACCACTATAGTGGCAGGAAAACAAACTCGTTTTCCTGGCACTATAGTGCCCTGAGGGTGCCCCCATCCTCAGGGTCCCACTCCCGCCGGGCTGAAGGGGGAGGAAGGGGGTTAAATGCTCACCTTTCTCCAGCGCCGGGCTCCCTCGGTGCTGAACGCTCTCCTCCTCCCGACGTCATCGGCTGAATGCGCATGCGCAGCAAGAGCCGTGTGTGCAGCCAGCCAGTCCATAGGAAAGCATTCTCAATTCTTTCCTATGGACGCTGGCGTCTTCTCACTGTGAAAATCACAGTCAGAAGCGCGTAAGCGCCTCTAGCGGCTGTCAATGAGACAGCCGCTAGAGGCTGGATTAACCCTAATGTAAACATAGCAGTTTCTCTGAAACTGCTATGTTTACAGCAGGCAGGGTTAATACTAGATGGACCTGGCACCCAGACCACTTCATTGAGCTGAAGTGGTCTGGGTGCCTATAGTGGTCCTTTAAGATAGTGTTGAGGCATACTTTTTTAAGCCAGCTCAAATATCTAACAAATTTCCATACTGTGATATGTCAAGCCATGCTTTATACCAAGTTCAGAGCTCGACAAAGTTAGGAGCCAGAGTGTCATATATGACTCGTGTATGTATACATTGGATGTTTTTTGTTGATCTTTGTTTTGAAGTTGCCTATGAAAGGTTTAAAAATAAGTTGGGCAGCAAAACCAATATATCTATGAAAAATATAGCCTGGGTCCTAAGTTGGTTCAACCATGCTTTAGATTTTGTGGAGCGCTGCAATAGGTCAATCAAAATCTCTATCCTCAAATTGATGGGAAAGTTAAAGGACCACTATATGCCAGGAAAACACTCGTTTTCCTGGCACTATAGTGCCCTGAGGGTGTCCCCACCCTCAGGGTCCCACTCCCGCCGGGCTGGCTGGAGAGGAAGGGATTAAACACTTGCCTGTCTCCAGCGCCAGGGTCCCTCGGTGCTGGAGACTCTCCTCTTCCTTTCCCCGTCATCAGCTAAGTGCGCATGCGCGGCAAGAGCCGCACGCGCATTCAGCCAGTCTCAGAGGAAAGCATTTGCAATGCTTTCCTATGGACGCTGGTGTCTTCTCACTGTGAAAATCACAGTGAGAAGCGCGAAAGCTCCTCTAGCAGCTGTCAATGAGACAGCCACTAGAGGCTGGATTAACCCTAACCTTTAACCCTGAAACTGCTATGTTTACAGCAGAAAGGATTAATCCTAGGTGGACCTGGCACCCAGACCACTTCATTAAATATTAATTAAGCTGAAGTGGTCTGGGTGCCTATAGAGGTCATTTAATATGTTGGACACTCAGTACATTTAACAAGAAAACAAAAAAAAGTATGGTATTGCAAAGAACAAGGTTCAATTATAAAAATGTTAATCTAACAACAACAATTGTTGCAGAAAAAAAAACTTACACCATATTACAATGTCATAGTCTTCATAAGCAGAGGTAAGGAATTCATGCAGATATGGTCTCATGAGTTCTAGCCCAGTTTCAGCACAGGAACGATGATCTGAAATTAATTTGGAAAAACTTTAAAAAGGAGCAAAATTACAAGGTTAGCAACCTATGTATTTACATTTTCTTATTGGAATGTCAAAAACAGAAAAGTTCATCACTGCATCCAATTAGATATTCACAAGGCAGAAACAGCATTTACAGCTTATTTTCACATAATCTCCCTAACAGAAGACTGTGTAGAAACTCCAAACCTAAAGAGATGTATCAACTATATTTGATACAACTATATTTAAAATATATCAAACGTTTACAGATATTACACCACTAAAATCACCCAGGTAACTTCATCTAAATGAAAAGACCTGTGTGTAGTGGTCCTGTAGGTTTAAACTTACAATGCAAAAACATTGCTGTTTTGGAGAAACGGCAAAGTTTAAATTGCAGGGTTAAACGCACCTCTATTCGCTATCATACCGACAGCCACTAAAGGAGCTTTCTGACGCAGTAACTGAGTAAAACTGATTCAATGCTTTCCAATAGTGAAGCTGGATGTGCGCATGGCCCTTGTGAATGAGGAGTCACCGATTGGCTGTGAAGGTTCAGAAGCCAAATGCCGCCTGGGGGGGAATGGATATCGGTGCTGGAGGCAGCTTTGTGGTTAAACCTTTCAAGAATGGTTAAACCGCTGATGGCGAGTGTATATGAACTTCTAGAAATTTCAATACCACTGGTTTTAATCATTCATGATTCTTTTCTTTCAGAAATCAAACCGGGGATTGGAGAAAAGCAGATGTGGTGCCCATATTTAACTTAAAAAAAAAAAAAAAAAGTTATATTTTAAACCAGAACCTACGGACCTGGGAGCATAACATCTGCGGTTGGGAAATCATGTAAAAGGTGATTATGCAAGACTATTCAAGAAATTATTTTGAACAACGATATCATTACATGGTTTTATGAAAGACAGGCCATGCCAAACTAAATTAATTGAGTTCTATGAATGAATTGGGGTGTTCCAGTGGATGTGATCTTCTTGGATTTTTACAAAGCATTTGATACAGCTCGAAACAAAAGGTTACTATTAAAGTTGAAATCAGTTGGATTAGATAGCCAATCTTGTTCTTTATATTGACAAAAGTGGTAAATGAAATGCTTCAGGGTTGGATCCTGGCCCCACTTCTCTTTAATCTGTTTATAAATTATCTTGAAGTAAAAGTTGAAAGTCATGTATCAATGTTTGTGGATGACACAAATCTATGCAAGATAATATTGTTGGAACATGATGTAACTTCTATTCAAAATGGGTAACTGGGCACGTGGCAGGTGAGATTCAATATGAATAAATGCAAAGTCATACATTTTGGGATAAGGAACCCTCAAGCCACCTAAATAGGGTTAAGTTATGGATAACATTAAAGCACTTGGGAACAATTTTAAATAAACTAGACAACAGTGTACAATGTCTAGCTGCCATTGCAAGTCTAGTAAAGTGCTGTAAATATACACTGCTCAAAAAAATGGGAACACATCCTAGATCTGAATGAATTAAATATTCTTCTGAAATACTTTGTTCTTTACATTGTTGAATGTGCTGACAACAAAATCACACAAAAATAAAAAAATGGAAATCAAATTTTTCAACCCACGGAGGTCTGGATTTGGAGTCACACTCAAAATTAAAGTGGAAAAACACATTACAAGCTGATCCAACTTTGATGTAATGTCCTTAAAACAAGTCAAAATGAGGCTCAGTAGTGTGTGTGGCCTCCACGTGCCTGTATGACCTCCCTACAACGCCAGTGCATGCTCCTGATGAGGTGGCGGATGGTCTCCTGAGGGATCTCCTTCCAGACCTGGACTAAAGCATCTGCCAACTCCTGGACAGTCTGTGGTGCAACGTAACGTTGGTGGATGGAGCGAGACATGATGTCCCAGATGTGCTCAATTGGATTCAGGTCTGGGGAACGGGCAGGCCAGTCCATAGCATCAATGCCTTCGTCTTGCAGGAACTGCTGACACACTCCAGCCACATGAGGTCTAGCATTGTCTTGCATTATGAGGAACCCAGGGCCAACCGCACCAGCATATGGTCTCACAAGGGGTCTGAGAATCTCATCTCGGTACCTAATGGCAGTCAGACTACCTCTAGCGAGCACATGGAGGGCTGTGCGACCCCCCAAAGAAATGCCCCACACCATTACCGACCCACTGCCAAATCGATCATGCTGGAGGATGTTGCAGGCAGCAGAATATTCTCCACGGCGTCTCCAGACTCTGTCACGTCTGTCACATGTGCTCAGTGTGAACCTGCTTTCATCTGTGAAGAGCACAGGGCGCCAGTGGCGAATTTGCCAGTCTTGGTGTTCTCTGGCAAATGCCAAACGTCCTGCACGGTGTTGGGCTGTAAGCACAACCCCCGCCTGTGGACGTCGGGCCCTCATACCACCCTCATGGAGTGTTTCTGACCGTTTGAGCAGACACATTCACATTTGTGGCCTATTGGAGGTCATTTTGCAGGGCTCTGGCAGTGCTCCTCCTTGTACAAAGGTGGAGGTAGCGGTCCTGCTGCTGGGGTTTTGCCCTCCTACGGCCTCCTCCACGTCTCCTGATGTACTGGCCTGTCTCCTGGTAGCTCCTCCGTGCTCTGGACACTACGGTGACAGACACACCAAACCTTCTTGCCACAGCTGGCATTGGTGTGCCATTCTGGATGAGCTGCACTGCCTGAGCCACTTGTATGGGTTGTAGACTCCGTCTCATGCTACCACTAGAGGTCACCACCTGCAGAACCACTCCTTTATTGGGGGTGTCTTGCTAATTGCCTATAATTTCCACCTGTTGCCTATCCCATTTGCACAACAGCATGTGAAATTGATGGTCACTCAGTGTTGCTACCTAAGTGGACAGTTTGATTTCACAGAAGTGTGATTGACTTGGAGTTACATTGTGTTTATGTGTTCCCTTAAATTGTTTTGAGCAGTGTATAAAAAGGGGCATTGATTCACATGATCAAAATATAATTTTGTCGATTCATAAATCAATGATAAGACCACATCTTGAAAATGTGGTGCAATTCTGGGCAATAGTTTCAAATAAATATATTGCAGAACTAAAAAAAGTGCAGACGCAAACGGGAAAATTAATTAGGGTGATGATGTAGAAAGATCTGGAAAAACAGTATTTGTTTTCTTTAGAGGGGATATGATAGTACTATACAGATATATATATATATATATATATATATATATATGTATATATGTCAGTACAAACCGCTAGATGCGAATCTGTTGTCTTATCAAATAATGTATTTTTTTAAAAAGGCCTGAAAGTAGTTTTTTTGGGAGGGGTGGGACAGAATTTTCCAAGTTATAATTAGCATGTATGGGGTTGTTTATTCCAGGCATAATTGCTTATTGTTTAAATTGTGCCTTCATTTTTATCAACAGCATATAAAAAAGGTGTTGAAATGCTGAACTGAGATAGTAGAAGATGTGAATGGCATGATCCATTACTGTTCCTCATTGTGATATCGTGTATGGTACCCATAAATGCAGATATTGTAAACCTGGCGTCAATCTATGTTGCTGGGATAAATCCAAATATTATTTACCATAAACATATACCATGTATGAGCATGAACAGCATTTTCTCATTGATACTGTATTCTGATCGGCTATGTGTGCCATGATCATGTGTACAACCAGCATGGTTAGATGGATGGTTTTATCGTTTAATTTTATGTGTAAAGTGCACATTAAATTCTGGGTATTCTGAAGCGGTCTGTCAATGTAAAACCAATGAATGCACATACAAATTGGAGTTTCTTTTTCTGTATGTAAACATAAAATCCCACTAAACTCAGCAAACAAGCATTCATCACTTGTGCTGAGAGCAATGGTAGCTTATTGAACACAAATGAACATTTACAGCAATGTTTTATAAACAATAAATAAACTTTAGATTGACACCGGCCCTCAATGCTAAAGCAAAAAAAAAAAAAAAAAAAGACATGGGGACAGGAGGGGCAGTTGAACTGGGGAGGGGTGGAGGATCTCCTTTTTCAGGGAGGGTATTGTACACAGTTGCCATGGTAGTGCAAGCAGATGATGTAGGGTTAACACATGGGACGGCACTGCAAAATGCAGTTGATGGGCGAGGCCCCGCAAGTCTCTTTATGGTGGCAGGTTTGAGAAGTAAACGCCCTATCCACGGACCAAGATTCTGCTTTGCGTTGCCAGTTGATGAGCCAAAGAATCCTGAAAATAGGCCTCCACTGAGTGCTTTGTCCTTGCCTGCATCTGTGTCTGCTGCTTATGCTCATGGGCTGTTGCACATATCTGTTGCTATAGTATGTTAAAATCATTCTCAGAGTTGGCTGGTTGTTGGAGACCTGGTGGATGCAGTAGGTAAAGGCTATGAAGGCAGTCTACCTGATGCGGATGGTGGAGACTGTGGTGTGGACACACTACAGACCATGAGTTACAATGCCAAGTTGGGCATAGGGCAATGTCCCAGTGCCTGTTGTGCGGATACCGTTGGCCTTCCTGACTAGATGGTGAAGAACCTGCAGGGAAAAATACATATTTACTAAAAGACTAATTAGATCTCTACTATTCTGAACTTGCATTTGAAAAATGTACACGCTTTGTTGCATGATAGAAATTATTTAAGTATGTGCTGTTCTTAAAAGATTATTCTGTGAGTAGCCTCAGCATTACTCAATTACGTGGTAAAGGAATAAATGTATGGTTTTGCAATATTCACACACCCATTGTATAGCGGTACGGAATTCCCACTATACAGAGCTATGGAATTTGCTGGCGCTATGTAAATAATAATCATGAGGCAAAGACCTATAGGTTTATTCAACAAGCCAGGCATTGTGGTGAATTCATAAGAAAACTTCACATCTTGAAGGGACCAGAGTATCAAATCTGGAACAATAGCTGGGTTGGAGAAAATGACCAAATCCATTATTATGGTCTACAATTTGCAATACACTTATCCGTTCTCTCCAATTGCCAGTTTAGTAAATAATCCCACATCTTATAGCTCCTATGTCTTCACACAATGGAGGACAAGAGTGTACAGTAGCAGTTGGATGACATTACATCAACTACTTTAAATATGTAAGGCAGCGGTAGGCAACCTTTGGCACTCAAGATGTTGTGGACTACCATTTCCCATAATGCTCCTACTGCCACAACGCTGGCAAAGCATCAGGAGATGCTGAAGGTTGCTTACCTCTGATGTAGGGTGTGCTCAGCAGTGGATAGATCTTCCTTCCTACCAGTACTGATCTAAAGTTTTATAACTTTACAACTTGCTTTTTTTTCCTTTTACTTTTGACACTTGAAATCCCACTAACAAATTGAAAACACAATTTAAAATATGAAGTGCATATACAGTTTTTGAAAATTAACAATTAGGTTTTACATACTCTGGTCTCACCATATATATTTAGTAAACTCAGGGGTTGTATTCACTGGACAGTGACTTGAAAATCAACATTTGCCATAGGGGTTTTAAAGTTTCCTGTTTGGTAGATGGAATACTATATTAAAAAAAAAAAAAAAGATTGTTTAAAAACTGGCCACAGAGGCCTGCTAAGTGCTAGCAACTGCATGTTTTTAACAGATCCTAGAATTGTTAGGCCTGTGTGGTAGAATATAGTACAGTTACCATGCAGTAAGTGCTCATATATTGTGAGTGCAAAACTTACCTGGTATTTGCAAGATGCTTGACCACTGGGGTCATGGTCAGCAGGAATGCCAGCAATGTAAACAGGTCTTGGGTTGACCCTCAGAAGCTCCTCCCACTCATTAATGGTGATCTAGGGTGGTGGGATCCCACCAATACCTCTTGCATGGGATCGTCTTCACTTTCAAATGGCACCTGCAGTCTACCCACAGCTTCTTAATGACATCTACGTTATGCATGGTCACATTCACTGCACTCCAGGCCTTTCTCCTCCTTGTTACAGCAACACACTGTCCTTCCATGGCAAAGAGCTCCAAAATGGCCTGGACCAGCGTAAGGTTTGCTGCATAGGTGAACTTGGACCACTACTCCTGTCCAGTGGCTGGCATTTACTTCCATGTAACCTTTCCTGGCTATCCTGGAATTGCGTGCCTGGTTCCCCTACCCACCCTTATTTCTTCATGCAACACACCTTCATCTCCCACTCCCTGCCCCATGGACGCCTCTTCATCTGCATTTCTTCCCCAACCTTCATATACTCTGCCATATTTGTATAAGTGTAGTATGTATATAATGTTAACACTCCAAACATCATAATCCCTAAAAGGGGGTGTGGTGGTTCAGGTATCAGAAGTGATCAGGTTCCACACCCTGCCTTCTCTCCCAGGTCCAGTAGAGCCAGAAGCATCTGCTTGGGACATTCCATTAGCTCTCCAGGGCTGGATCAATGGCTGAAAGCATCAGCTATCGTGCACAAACAATGAGTTAAGTCATGTACTGCCGAGCTTAGCTCAAACAGAGCTACAGGCTCTCCAATAACTGTAGTGGAGGCTTGGAATAGTTTGACTGTTTACGATGGGGGCTGCAATTGCTCTTCTGGCACCATAACAACTATAGCATGGTACAGAAGTTATCATGCTTGGAGTGTCCCTTTAATGTAAAGTATCCAACTGTTCTAAAACCACTACTTCTACTATAACAACTCTCCCCCTCCAATCTACTCTGCTCTCTTAAATATTCTATGATCAACATCCCAGATAATGCACAATTGGTAATGTCATACTTAAATAGGAATAATCCTTAATACCAACGATGCACATGTGTAAACTGTTGTGACTGTGCCTCTTGACAGCAAGTAACTCAATCCTCCATGATAATTAAAGCAAATACGATGATAATTAGCCAAGTCTTTATACAGTAGAAATATGCATTCATAAGAAGCCAATGGCTTCTCGAGTTATCAAATTACGTTCATAATGAGCCATCGCATGCATTACAGCAGAGTTTACCATCTGTCAAATCTCACAGCCAATAAATTATCCAAATAATCTTAGAAGAGCGAAATAAAGAATAAACTCAATCCCCCACCCCCATTTACCTATTATTGAAAGAAGTTCTAATCTCTAAATCTAGGCCAAAGCGGAGACAGGGTTTACAAATCGTCACTACGGCCAGCAGATCAAAGATATGACCTTGCAAACAACAAGACCACCAACACATCTTATCCGAGATAGACCTCCTGAGGCCCCCCCCCCCTTTATGAGACTGACCCACAAGGGTCTGATCAGCCACACCAGTACTAACAGGGCCTTGGAAACAGTGCATATACGGCGTTACATCTGCACTCAATGACAAAACCCTGCACTAGGATAATTAGAAGGCAGCAACATCTTCCCCATAGGGTTACAAAAGGGTGTTCTGCTGTACACCCTCATACTCCGACAAACAGGTTCCCCTACGGACCTCTACCCACCTCCGAGACAAACAGGGATGGAACAATAAATAAACCCAACAATAAAGAGAACCTGGGCATATGCCCTCCCTGTCCATTACAAAGTTCCGCCACATAGATCCTACTAACAGCAGAGACGCAAGGCACATGAAGGAGAACAATGGGTTGGTAACCTAGTGGTCTAGGGGCGCTGTTTGAAACACGCTATACAATGGATATTGTCTTGTACATTGATTATGTAATCTGAGCTGGTGTGATGTCAGAACCATATGCCCTTTCCCCCTCCGAGTTTTCCTTTCTGTACCCCAAAAACTAATAAACATTGTCAAATTGCAAAAGAAAAAAAAAAAAAAACTCATGGCCCATCAAGTTAACATGTCAATTTCATTGAAATCCTCTATATAAACATTATGAACACCGCAATCATTTGTCTGTGCTTTGTCCTTTGCACAATAGAGCACAGGGCTAGAGATGCCGGAAGTAGATTTCTGGCTTAGTGATTATGGTGAGTTAGGTAAGGTTCTTGTCTGGCATATATAACTTTTTTACTCTCTTGCACACACACATTCATACAGGTCACACTAACTCTACATTATTTTTACATTACAGAACATTTAAATAAACTAACAGTGTTTGATTGACAGTGTTTTAGAGTGTTGTTTTTTTTGGGGGGGGGGAAGGGTAGGGAAGCACTGGCAAGTCATAGGGAACATATTGCTGAGGCAATAGGCAACCTTTAAGAGCTGGCTATCCTATTCGCAGGTATGTCACTATTATGGATTTGACAATTATGGAGAAACATGGAGGATGCTTTGAACAGATGTGGTGCAAGGATGACGATGGTGGAGGTCATCTGAATGCATTGGTCAGATTGCAAGTGCAGAGTCAAGACCAAGATGGCAGAGGAGGATCTGCAGGTGAAAGACAGAGCATTTCCAACACCAAGAAATGTCCTTGCTGTTGGACTTCTGAAACCCAGTGGTTGATAGAGGACAAAGCAATTTTGACAATGACCTAGTAAGCAATATCCTTCCTTATGGTCACACTATAAAGATAATGGCCTGAATACCCTTTAAGTAATTAGTAGTTCTGCATATATTGCCATTCAGTAAGTAGAGCTACAAATTTATCTGCTAAAGGAAAATCAAATGTGCAAACACACATCCCGAATACAAAAATAAGTAATAAGGGAGGGTAAAAAACAAATCAACTTCCCTATATAGTAATCTTGTATAGACAAAATAGATCAAAACGAAAAACAGCGGGATACACGTGAATAAAATATATAAAATAAAAAAAACATAGTACAACACTGTGTAGTATCGTTCAATTTAATAGTTGCTCTGATGGCACTCATAGACTCCAGTGAAATTTCAGGAACTTCACAAAGTATCCATTTGGTCCTTGTCAGGATCAGGATCTCCCTTGGGTACTACTATTAACAAACAGGAACCGGGTTCCAGGTAGGTTGTAAACGTTGGTTTCTTGCAAAATGTAAATAATTTAAAACAACAGGTCTACAGGTTTCGTTCCTCTGAGGAAACTTCCTCAAGGACCAATAAAATTTAAAACATTAAAATAACAAAATGCCAACAGAAAAAGTATATCAGTCTCCCCTTTCCATACATTCCTTCACTTAAAAAGGGACAGTCCCAATATTCCACAGGTGTTTTAAGGGGCATGACCCTTACTCCACCAATCCCTTCCTGATTCCTATATTTTTTACAGATTGATCTTTGCTTCTTCGTTGAAATTCTCCTCCCTCTTCTAGCTGTATGCAGATTTCGGTGCTTTGCTTTCTCTCCAACGCCATTTTGGTTCGCTTGTGTTCCATTTATGTTAATTGTGCGTTCAACCACTTTATGGATACTTCCTGGTCGAGGTTCATGTCGCACTTCCGTGCATTCCACCCAGTGTCCTTACATTTCTAGATAACAGAATCAGGAGATTCGTGGATCGGGAGCAGGACCTTTTACTTACTTTTCTACTTAAAGAAAATTCTATCAATATTCCAAACTATTTTGCATTGAAGTGCATAAAGTGTTGTGTCCACTTATCTTATATCACACAAGTGCATCTCTCAAAAAGTGCTTTAACATAGTTAACAATATTTTGATTCTTAACACACAATCTATCCAATTAGAAGTCACATTTATATTATGAGGCACATGGTTTTGTATCCCGGACTGTTTATATGGGGGATAATCTGCTAAAGGAAACCAGCTGATTGTATAGGCCTGCTTCTTGGAACAATACGATTCTACTGCCTCAAAGGCCAAATAAATGCCCCATAATGCCCCTGATCTATGAAGCCTTAAAATGGATGATCACTGCAGAAATTGTGAAAGCCACAGATTTTCTTTTTTCTCCTGGCATTGTGGTGAAGATTATGTTCGAATTGTATAGAAAACTTTTAAAAATATTTGGGTAAGTCATTTGACAGCTCCAATTATCATAACATATAAAATAATAGTAATATTCAGCTCAAGCATGCCATTGATGTTAATTATCCAGATTCAAAATGTAAAAGAAAGAATAGGGTTTGGCTCTATGCAAGTTGTTTTTGCATTACTGGTAGAGTATTATTGAGAGCCCAATATAAAAATAATCCTCGAGTGTCAATATACATAGTACGGATAGAAAGATTATCGGTTCAGCCGATATTACAGATGTCGTCAAATATCAGTATCGGCCACTACTGATAAAGATATTGCTGACAATATGAAAGACGCCGGTGGCCCAGCGCATGCAGGGCCGGCGTGTCCATAAGGCGGCATAGGCTGTCTTAGGGCGCACCTGCTCTGGGGGGGAGAGGGGGGCGCAAAAATTGAGAGACCAGCAGGAAGGAAGCGCACAGCACTCCCCTTAAGAGTTACTCAGTGTAGCGTGGTCGAGTGGGGCAGAGCTGACCGCGGTATAGGAGCTTCAGTTTCCTGTACCCGGCCGGACTGACAGTAAGTGCTCACGGAGAGAGCACTTTGTGTCAGTCCAGCCGGGAATAGGAATCAGAAGCTCAAGTACAGCGGTCCGCTCCGCTACACTACAAGAGAGGTAATGAGGCACACCAGGGAGGAGAGAGGACCACTGACGGGGGTGGGCACACTAAAAGACAGGGGGAGAGGGCCACTAAGGGACAGAGAAGGGAGGGGTATACTAAGGGACAGGGAAGGGAGGGGTACACTAAGGGACAGGGAAGGGAGGGGTACACTAAGGGACAGGTAAGGGAGGGGTACACTAAGGGAAAGGGAGGGGAGTGGTACACTAAGGGAAAGGAAGGGGATGGGAGAGGTACACTAAGGGAAAGGAAGGGGAGAGGAACACAAAATATACTTGAAAAAAAAAAAAAACTGACCGGCGTGTATATTTTGTGCATTTACCACTTAATTAAAATAGTAAATAAACATGTTCAGTAAACAGAATATTAGTGTAGAAATGGTTTCTTTGTTCAAAACGTTAAATGTACAAAATATCTGTATTGGTAAGTTATCGGCTATTGACCTAAAAGTTCACAGATTATCGGTATTGGCTCTTAAAAAAAAAAAAAAAATCAATCCCTAATAGATAGCCTACACATTTGTTTGATGTTTGATTTAGTAGGGAATCGACCAATATTGATTTTTTTTTTTTTTAGAGCAGAGACAGATAATCTGTGAACTTTCAGGCAGATAGCCGATAACGTACCAATATTCTGTATATTTACCATTTTAGAAAAAATTATGTTTATTATTTATTTGCAAAATCTTTTTTTTTTTTTTTTTTATAAAGCTCAATGCACAAAATATACATATAAAAGAAAAATTAATTGTAAAATTAATAAAATATCCAGGAATAGTAAATGCCTTAAAGATAATAATTAGTTAAATAAAATAAAATAAAATAAAAATAACGAAAAACAGTTATGTCCAATATGGAATTCAAGTCCAATTGTTAACAGTCTCTTTGCTGAAAAGCTATATCATAATAGCTGTAAATGAAATAGATGGATAGTCTTTTTAAATCTTTGTTTGTAAGCTAATTCAGTTCACTCCAGTTATAGATGAACTGGGATCTAGATACTGAATTAGTTATTTAGTATAGTACAATATAACAATATATATGGTCCTTATAATTGTAACATTGTATCTTGTACCAGAGAATAAATAACTAACTGACAGGCTATATAAAGTAGCCTTTAGTTTTAATACTGTTACTCCTAATAATAGGAAATAAAGTGATGAGATAAAATAAGATCCAAGTGCTAATACAGAAAATTATTCCAAGTATTGATATATTAAAAAAAATGGATTTATTGTAAGATAAACTTGAAATAAAGATTAAAAAGCAAAAAGTTGCACTCACATTGATTAAAAGTTATGCTGAATATGGAGCCAGAGGATGGTGTAAGCAGCTGAAAAAAATAGACTGTCCGCTCATCAGATGTAAAGTGAATGATTTTCAAGCCGCGTGCATTCCACCAAATTCTCCCTGTTGATTAAAAGTTTTGCCGAATATGGAGCCAGAGGAGGGTGTAAGCAGCTTAAAGAAAAAATAGACTGTCCGATCACTGGATTCATTCAATAGTACAATCATATACAATAAAAGATTTTTACAATGTTTTGGAATTTGAACAAAAAAGATTATAATACATATTGGACCTATATATACTACTCATTAAAAAAGAGATAAATAACAATATATTTTTTAAAAGATTATAAAAGATTCACATATTAAAATATATTGTCATAAAAATAATAATAGTATAGTTAAACAGTTCATAAGGTATTTGATACTTGATTAAAACTCATTTATTTTAAAAATCATTTATATTTAAAAAATTATTAATCATTTGAAGAAAAAAAAAATGTAAAAAATGTATTAATTATAAAACAGCTCTTAATTCAAAATCTACATTTAAACCATTGGGTTCTAGCGTGTCTAACTGAAATATCCATTTGGCTTCTGCTTTATCTAATTCTTTTTCTAAATCTCCTCCTCTCCATGGAATATTTATTTTTTGAATTGCCATAAAAATAAGTCCCTTAGGATTCCTTGCATGTATGAGATCAAAGTGTTTCGAAAGATTATGTGAATGGAGTCCATTTTTGATGTTTCTAATATGTTCTCCCATTCGTGTTTTAAAAGCCCTTTTAGTACGTCCCACATACATTTTATCACAGGGACATTTTAATAAATAAATTACTCCAATAGTTTTACAATTTAAGTGTGATTTTATTTTAAAAATTTCATTTGTTTGTGGGTGACTGAATTCTATAATACTTGTAGATTGATTTGGGTTATTTATACATGCTTGACATTTTTTACTTTTCCAAAAGCCTGCTAGATTTTTAAGAGTGGTAGTTTTATTTTGCTTTGGTTTTTCTTGTTTTGTTGTGGGTGCTAATAATAAACCCAGATTGGGGGCTTTGGAGTGTATTATTTGAGGTTTATTACTTAATATTCGTCCTAATTGGGGATCTCCTTCGAGAATATTCCAATTTTTTTGTAGAATATTTCTAATTTGATGGGTATGACTATTATACCTTGTTATAAAAGTGGGAGCTTCCAAATTGGATGAATCTTTATATGACTTTGTTGCCAAAATATGGTCTCTAGATAAAAGGGATTTAAAATTTTACTTGAGGTCTCATGGCATCGCTATATAGATGGTTGTATTTTTATCTGGAAGGGAGATATCGAATTGTTGGAAAATTTTAAGGAATATTTAAATTTTAACCCTTATAATTTAAAATTTGCTTTTAACCAATCCACAGAAAAACTCGAGTTCTTAGATCTTGAAATTTATATTCAGAATAACAAATTGGAAACTAAAACTTTTAGAAAAACAATAGCATGTAACAGTTTTATTCCTCACAATAGTTTTCATAAAAGAACATGGCTAAACAATATCCCGTTTAGCCAGTTTAGAAGGATAAAAAGAAATTGTTCTGAACCCAAAATCTGTGTCGAACAAACTAAAATGATGACAGCACAATTCCAAGCAAAAGGCTATTCAAGTAAAATTTTAAATCAAGCTCTAACTAAGACCTCCCTTTTATCTAGAGACCATATTTTGGCAACGAAGTCATATAAAGATTCATCCAATTTGGAAGCTCCCACTTTTATAACAAGGTATAATAGTCATACCCATCAAATTAGAAATATTCTACAAAAAAATTGGAATATTCTCAAAGGAGATCCCCAATTAGGACGAATATTAAGTAATAAACCTCGAATAATACACTCCAAAGCCCCCAATCTGGGTTTATTATTAGCACCCACAACAAAACAAGAAAAACCAAAGCAAAATAAAACTACCACTCTTAAAAATCTAGCAGGCTTTTGGAAATGTAAAAAATGTCAAGCATGTATAAATAACCAAATCGATCTACAAGTATTATAGAATTCAGTCACCCACAAACAAATGAAATTTTTAAAATAAAATCACACTTAAATTGTAAAACTATTGGAGTAATTTATTTATTAAAATGTCCCTGTGATAAAATGTATGTGGGACGTACTAAAAGGGCTTTTAAAACACGAATGGGAGAACATATTAGAAACATCAAAAATGGACTCAATTCACATAATCTTTCGAAACACTTTGATCTCACACATGCAAGGAATCCTAAGGGACTTATTTTTATGGCAATTCAAAAAATAAATATTCCATGGAGAGGAGGAGATTTAGAAAAAGAATTAGATAAAGCAGAAGCCAAATGGATATTTCAGTTAGACACGCTAGAACCCAATGGTTTAAATGTAGATTTTGAATTAACAGCTGTTTTATAATTAATACATTTTTTTTTTCTTCAAATGATTAATAATTTTTTAAATATAAATTTTTAAAATAAATGAGTTTTAATCAAGTATCAAATACCTTATGAACTGTTTAACTATACTATTATTTTTATGACAATATATTTTAATATGTGAATCTTTTATAATCTTTTAAAAAATATATTATGTTATTTATCTCTTTTTTAATGAGTAGTATATATAGGTCCAATATGTATTATAATCTTTTTTGTTCAAATTCCAAAACATTGTAAAAATCTTTTATTGTATATGATTGTACTATTGAATGAATCCAGTGCTATATTTAACATTAACCATAAGGGGTTAACATAAACCAGAAGTTCTGCTGGCTATTTAAACCCACAAGAAACCTCAATCAGACATCCTCTGATGAAGTGAGCTAAGCCTCACGAAACGCGTAAGGACGATATTCAGAACGACAGAACGACATTTCACTGCTTTTCGGCATCTACCGGCATCTTTCCGGCATCTACCGCAACACTGCTGATTTGCATCTGGAACGCAGACGGAGAATTTGGTGGAACGCACGCGGCTTGAAAACTATACACTTTCACTGCTTTTCGGCATCTTTCCGGCATCTACCGCAACACTGCTGATTTGCATCTGGAACGCAGACGGAGAATTTGGTGGAACGCATGCGGCTTGAAAACTATACACTTCACATCTGATGATCGGACAGTCTATTTTTTCTTTAAGCTGCTTACACCCTCCTCTGGCTCCATATTCGGCAAAACTTTTAATCAACAGGGAGAATTTGGTGGAATGCACGCGGCTTGAAAATCATTCACTTTACATCTGATGAGCGGACAGTCTATTTTTTTCAGCTGCTTACACCATCCTCTGGCTCCATATTCAGCATAACTTTTAATCAATGTGAGTGCAACTTTTTGCTTTTTAATCTTTATTTCAAGTTTATCTTACAATAAATCCATTTTTTTTTAATATATCAATACTTGGAATAATTTTCTGTATTAGCACTTGGATCTTATTTTATCTCATCACTTTATTTCCTATTATTAGGAGTAACAGTATTAAAACTAAAGGCTACTTTATATAGCCTGTCAGTTAGTTATTTATTCTCTGGTACAAGATACAATGTTACAATTATAAGGACCATATATATTGTTATATTGTACTATACTAAATAACTAATTCAGTATCTAGATCCCAGTTCATCTATAACTGGAGTGAACTGAATTAGCTTACAAACAAAGATTTTAAAAGACTATCCATCTATTTCATTTACAGCTATTATGATATAGCTTTTCAGCAAAGAGACTGTTAACAATTGGACTTGAATTCCATATTGGACATAACTGTTTTTCGTTATTTTTATTTTATTTTATTTATTATTTTTTATTTTATTTTATTTAACTAATTATTATCTTTAAGGCATTTACTATTCCTGGATATTTTATTAATTTTACAATTAATTTTTCTTTTATTTGCATCATAAGGGATTTTTAGTGGAGTCTCTTTATTTCCAGTAGAGTGGTTTAGCCTTGCCATTATTCATTCTCTAACCAGAGGTTTACTTTTAAAGTAATCTCACCCATTAACCCACAAAATATACATGTTTTCAAGAATGTGTGTGTGTGTGTGTGTGTGTGTGTGTGTGTGTGTGTGTGTGTATTGGATGCAGTGAGAGTATTTGATTAGTGAATGCAGTGTGTGTTTTTGTGTAGTGAATGCAGAGTGAGTGTGTTTGTGTAGTGTGTATTTAGTGAATGCAGTGTGTGAGTTTGTATACTGTGTATATAGTGAATGCAGTGTGTGTTTTTCTGTAGTGGATGCAGAGTGAGTGTGTGTTTGTGTAGTGTGTATTTAGTGAATGCAGTGTGTGAGTTTGTATACTGTGTATATAGTGAATGCAGTGGTTTTTTTGTAGTGTGTATATAATAAATGCAGAGTGTGTTTGTGTAGTGTGTGTATATAATGAATGCAGAGTGTGTATGTGTAGTGTGTGTATATAATAAATGCAGAGTGTGTATATATAATGAATGCAGAGTGTGTATGTGTAGTGTGTGTATATAATAAATGCAGAGTGTGTATATATAATGAATGCAGAGTGTGTGTGTAGTGTGTGTATATAATGAATGCAGAGTGGGTATATATAATGAATGCAGAGTGTGTATATATAATGAATGCAGAGTGTGTTTGTGTAGTGTGTGTATATAATGAATGCAGAGTGGGTTTGTGTAGTGTGTGTATATAATGAATGCAGAGTGGGTTTGTGTAGTGTTTGTATATAATGAATGCAGAGTGGGTTTGTGTAGTGTGTGTATATAATGAATGCAGAGTGGGTTTGTGTAGTGTGTGTATATAATGAATGCAGAGTGGGTTTGTGTGTGTGTAGAATGCAGAGTGGGTTTGTGTAGTGTGTGTATATAATGAATGCAGAGTGGGTTTGTGTAGTGTGTGTATATAATGAATGCAGAGTGGGTTTGTGTAGTGTGTGTATATAATGAATGCAGAGTGGGTTTGTGTAGTGTGTATATAATGAATGCAGAGTGGGTTTGTGTAGTGTGTGTATATAATGAATGCAGAGTGGGTTTGTGTAGTGTGTGTATATAATGAATGCAGAGTGGGTTTGTGTAGTGTGTGAATGCAGAGTGGGTTTGTGTAGTGTGTGTATATAATGAATGCAGAGTGGGTTTGTGTAGTGTGTGTATATAATGAATGCAGAGTGGGTTTGTGTAGTGTGTGTATATAATGAATGCAGAGTGGGTTTGTGTAGTGTGTGTATATAATGAATGCAGAGTGGGTTTGTGTAGTGTGTATATAATGAATGCAGAGTGGGTTTGTGTAGTGTGTGTATATAATGAATGCAGAGTGGGTTTGTGTAGTGTGTGTATATAATGAATGCAGAGTGGGTTTGTGTAGTGTTTGTATAGTGAATGCAGAGTGTGTGTGTGTGTGTATATAATGAATGCAGCGTGTTTGTGTAGTGTGTGTATATAATGAATGCAGTGTGGGTTTGTGTGTGTTTGAGCAGTGAGTGTTTGTGTAGGTATGTTACGTGAGTAAAATGGGGGAGGGAGGGCATTTTTATTTTTGTAACTTTTCTTTTTTTAAATATTAATTTTTTTTTAAATTATGTTTTAGTCCCCCCTCCCTGCTCTTACCTGGCCAGGGAGGGGGGATATGTCATTCCTTGGTGGTCTGGTGGAATGGACTGTGCAGAGGGGGCCCAGCACACACTTATCTTCCCAGCAGATCCCTTCAGCTCCCCTCTTTAACTCTTGCGGCCTGTGTGCCGCGCAGAGCGATGCCATGGTAACCCGTGGCAATGCTCTGACGGCCGCAGGACTCGCAAGATTTAGATAGGGGAGCTGGAGGAAGATGCTGGGAAGGTAAGTAAGAGTGTGCTGGGCCCCCCAGGACCCTGATGGCGGTCCTGGTCTGCATTATCGGCAATATCGGTATCTTTATTTAATAATCGGTGATCCCTAATATTTAGTTTGAAGAAGTACTTGGAAACCAGGGAGCTCACACCACTGTGTTGTGAAGTACAAATGAATTTGAAGGTCAAAGGAAAACACTGAAAGTGGAGTGTGACGGAGCTGCCTGTACGGCTGGGTACCTTTGCCAAGCTCGCACCCTAGTTGGTACCGGGAAACCTGAAGCACTTCTGCCCCAGCTTGACTGGGGTCTTTCTGGCTTCAGCATTCCTTCCAGGTAGGTATCGTCCCCTCTGCCTATTCCTCTGGAGCTCTGCTCATAGTGCCAGATATTGCCTTTACAAAGGCACTTGCGGCTCTCAGGCCTATCTCTATTGACTCCTAAAAATCCACACAGGAGACCCAGTTCCAAATGGAATTACCATGCAAAATGGAATTAAACACGCTTAATTTTCTTGGGACTAGCCCATATGATCATTACATTAAGATTGCTTTGACAACCAAAATACAATTAAACTAACCAAAACATGTCAGAAAACATACATGGAATAATAACACAACATATCTACAAAGGGGTAGGGAAGTCAATAAACAACACAAAATATCTCTCCTGTCTGCAGAATTAACAATATGCACATCTTGCAAGCCTTGCTATTCAGGTAGTGCATATAGCTGTTGTTAGATCCTTGCAACAAACAGGTGGCGCTCTACAGGCTCCACAGCCAAATTCACCTAGCTGATTGCAAGCATTAGCAAGACAGGAGAGCACACTAATATTCTGAACCAAATAATGCCATCATAAAAGTTGAACTGAGATGTAGCATTAAGCGGATGTACCTTCCGGGCATCCCTGGAATAGTGTGCGTTTGAATAGTACAAAAATTACATGTAAGGGTTAATGCATCATCTTTAAATGAAAAAAAAAGGTTGCAGTTCAGTGTATTGAAGTAATGGCCAAGATGAAGAAAACGGTATACCTCCTTCAAGGTTAATCAGGCAAACAGAGCACAAGTTATACTACAGCATGCTGTAGTGTGTGTGTGTGTGTTTCGGAGTGTGCCCCATTTACTATAAACAACAAGGCAGTTAGAGCAATACATCTAGCCAGTTCAGACGCATCTGAATAAATTGTTGCTTTATTATACAGATGGGGTTTGTGACGGAGCTCCAGTACTCCGACCAAGTACCTCCGCCAGGTCTGATTCCTCATAGCTATCAGGCCCAGTCGCTCAGGCTTGACTGGGATCACTGAGGGCCTTTTCCACCCTGGACGAATTTGGGGGCCCACACAGTGTCTGTCTTCCATCCCCAAAGACAGTGACTATCGTCACAGGGTTTATTCACTAAACTATGAACATTACACATATTTGCCATTCAATTTAATGGTTTACTGAATCAAGCCTTTACTGGTTTATTTGATCTAATTTTCAGCAGCAATGCTGCACACAAACATGTGCTGTGTGTACAGCACTTGAATAGTGCAGAACCCATGTAAGCTCTCAAACCATGCAGAAAAACTACTAAAGCAAACTTACTGATAGAAGCAACTTTAATTTGGGAGAGCACAATGTAAAGCTTATACTGCATTAGAGGCTTACAGTAGAAAATTTACTTTTTTGCTGGCAAGATCTGGTCATGTATTTATTTTTTTTCGCCAGCACAATGTAAAGATTACAGTTGGGCTAAAATAAATGTAATAGGGTTTTGCTAGGGATGTGATATGAACTGTACTTGATTGAGTGTTTTATTATCACTACAGTTATCTGAATCGTGAGCTTCTATGTGCAAAGGTTTCCCACCATAACTTGTACGATAAGACATTTTACATACAAAAGCATTTTTCAAATCGCAGAGGCGCTGATGTATAATCGACAGCTCCTAAGTGGGAAAATAGCATGAGTAACTGGGATTTACTTTTTTTTTTTTTACATACAAAAGGTTTTCTGCCGTTTTGGTCTGTGCTTTTAATCACTGGCATGAATAATATAATTATACCCGCTCTATATCACACATGGTTCTGTTTTCTAGATAAAATCTTGGTTCATGGCCAGAAACCTGTGCTAGACTTATACCCTATGCACTTTTTATGTTACAACATACTATTACTCTACGCTCTGAAGGAGTATTTTGAATATGCATTTGGCCATGGTTAAAGGACCACTCTAGGCACCCAGACCACTTAATGAAGTGGTCTGGGTGCCTGGTCCAGCTAGGTTTAACCCATTTTTTTTTTATAAACATATAATGTTTATAAATAGGTTAATCCAGCCTCTAAAGCCTCTAGTGGCTGTCTCATTGACAGCCACTAGAGGCGTTTGCGTGCTTCTAACTGTGAAAATCACAGTGAGAAGACGCCAGCGTCCATAGGAAAGCATTATGAATGCTTTCCTATGAGACTGGCTGAATGCGCACGCAGCTCCTGCCGCGCATGCGCATTCAGCCGAAGAGGAGGAGGAGAGCTCCCCGTCCGGCGCTGGAGAAAGAGGTACGTTTAACCCCTTCCTGCCCCCCAGAGCCCGGCAGGAGGGGGACCCTGAGGGTGGGGGCACCCTTAGGGCACTATAGTGCCAGGAAAACAAGTATGTAAGTATGTTTTCCTGGCACTATAGTGGTCCTTTAAATAAGGAATTAAAATATATCACACATGTATGTACCCCCATTAAGTATTATTGTACCTGGCAGAGAATTTTATTACACACACAAAATAAAGTACAAAAACATTTCCAAATCTTTCATTTTGGATTTTTCGCAAGTGTAGCAGGTACAACACAGGCAGCAAACTTACCAAATAGTGTATAATCGACATCTAGAACTAGAAGTTTCTTGCCTTCCCTTGGGACATTTAAAACTTCTACTTTGTAATCTTTCACCCGACGGGAAATCTTGGCAAGATTTTCTTCTCTAGGAAAAGAGTTTAATGTTAAAACAAGGGAATCGAAGAATGGGACCAAAAGATTTAATGTTTTCACTTTCTTTTCAAAATTATTCTTGATCACCAAGTGTCAAGCAGTCACATGCAAAACAAAAATGTGTTTCAATGCTTAATGCAAATAACACATTTGGAAGAAACTCAAGTCAGACTTCTGAACAGTGTCAGGCATGCTAAACTGTAATGCAGCACAATAAGGAGATAACAACAAATCTAAAACAACTGTCTACCAAAAAAAAAAAAAAAAAGACACTAAACACCATAACAAATTTAGCTTTACCCCTTCCTGACGTTAGGATGTTCCATGCTGTCCTCCACAAAATAGACTTTAAAGGAACACTACAGGCACTCAGACCCCTTCATCTCATTAAAGTGGTCTGGATGCAGTGTCCCTGTCTTCTTAATCCTGCAAGTGAAAACAAGGTTTACATTGCAGCGCTAAGACTGCCACTCCCAGACAGCCTCTCTACCAGACAGACACTAGTCACACTTCCTGGCCTTTCATGCAAAGCATGAAGGCATCCAACACCTTAAAAAAAAAACATAGGAAAACACTTAATGCTTTCCTATGAGGGAGGCTCACTGCACGTGTGCAGTGGGGAGGGGAAGGCGTTCGCCAGAGGGGCAGATGGACACTATAGTGGCAGGAATACAGTTTTGTATTGCTAACACTATAGTGTTTCTTTAAAGACGTTAGGACAGCATGGAACACGCTGCAGTTTTGGTGTGAGCCAGGTTAAATCCCTGCTCACAATAGGAAGTCCAGGTATTAAAACTTGGGGCTCCCTTCTGTCAGCTGGGGTCATATTAAGTGGCCCTAGACTGACAAATGAGCTGTATGCAGTGCTCATAGTGTGTGGTGCATACAGCGCTTTCAATAGGGATTGAATCCCTATTGTTGCAATGTGATGTGTGGAGGGTTAACTCCCTGCTCACTTCAAGGAGGGCTATGTACCAATAGATACCTGGTGCTCCCCTCTGTCAGCCAGGGCCACTTTTGGTGGCCCCAGATTGACCCATGAGTTATATGCAGTGTTCAAAGACAGCACTGCATATAAGCCTCTAACTCAACTGATGGTCTGAGGAAGACCCCAACAGGCTCTCATTAAATGCCACCTTGCCGATTTTGATCAGTGTTGGACTTTGCCAGTTGCCCTGCACCGATCACTGTGTAATCGGCAGATACAGCATGCTGAAGTTTCAGCAATACGGGAAGATATCCTCGAAAACAGCCAGTAGATGACGGTAACGCACCAAGCTCTACTGTATTAAATGGACACTAGTATCACCAAAACAAGTTTTTGTGTACAGATCATGCATCTGAAGTCTCACTGCTCAATTCCCTGCCATTTAACTCACTAGGTTTAGGCACCCTAGTCACACCCCCTGCATGTGACTTGCACAACCTTCATAAACACTTCCTGTAAAGATACATCTAATGTTTACATTTCTTTATTGTAAATTCTGTGTAATTTAGAATGTCTTATCTCCTGCTCTGTTAATAGCTTGTTAGACCCTGCACAAGTTCAAGTGTGTGCGACTAAAGTTCAATTTACAGAGCAGGAGATAAAAAAAGATATATATCTCCAAATATATGGTAATAAATTAAGTAGTAACTTGAAACAGAGGTGCCTCTATGATGAGCTACCACTGGCAAAAAGGGCATCAGGGGCTCTAATGACTTACCGATCTTTACAATGATATTATCAGTTATCTGACAAGGATTTGATTATTACAGTATATTTGTCTTACTGCTATTTAGCAACATTTTGTAGGCAAGTCAGTGCAACCTCTTTTCTTGCTTTCGGACAATTTGCCATCCCAATGTAGTAGTCACTTCATTTAAGAGATTAGCCAAGGTTTTAGTGGTGGGATTCACATGAATGGGGTGCCCTCCAAGCACAATGTAGAGTACACATACTTTGTATCTAGCAATTTATGCATTTTTTTTAGACATTTGCTTAACCACCACTTAGTTGATAATTCTCCCTGCCATTTCTTGTGTCACAAGTTAAGAGAGCGCCAGTCTGCACCCTGTTTCAGGTTACTACTTCATATATTACCATATATTTTTGTTTTGTTTGATACAATAACATTTTACTGCCTAGTTACAACATATTTGTATGTGCAGACAGCCCTTGTTCGTCCTTTGGCTCGCTAATATAGGAATCATATGCACATACTCTACTTGCAGGTTATGCAGCATTTTTATTTACTTATTTTTAGCACCCTTGGGATTTTTTCATTACTATCAGGAGTTATTTTTTGCTTTGACCCAGCGAGGTCTAGTAATTTGTATTATTTTTAATTTTCTGGTTTTCTTTTCATTATTTTCAGGGGTTATTATTTTCTTTGACCCAGTAATTCGTTATTAGGAGTTATTCTTTGCTTTGACCCAGTGAGGTCTGATTATTATTTAATTTACATTTATTTTGATCCAGGAAGGTCGGATTACTTCACCCATTATTTTCACATTGTTTTAATAATATACAAAATAAAAGTTAAGTTTTAACTCGATTGAGATATTTAGTTCTTTTTAAAAAGGTATTATATATCCGTCTAACTTCCTTCCTTAAAAACCTTCCCTGGTTCTTTATAGTGACCAAAACAACTTTTATAAACAAGAGTGTCCCTTTACCTAGGAAATCCAGCTGCTGCTGATATCCGTACTGCTATTAGCAGAGAGGGTTTTTATATGGGGTTAAGTGTAAGGTTAGGATAAGACAAGGGTGAATGCTGGTTTAGCGTTAGGGATAGTTTATGGTTAAGGTTGGGGTAGGTATATGGATAGTTAATATAAGCATAGGATTATAGGTATGGCTGCGTTAAGTATAATGTTAGGGAATGTTGTTATAGGGTTAACATTAACTAGCAAAAATTAATTTAGATCCTAGACATATGAGGCAGTTTACAATCAGGACTAATACATGAATCTATTCTGAGTTATTTTCTTTAGCTACACTGGATGTGTAAAAATTATTAAGAAAAAATGTGAACAAAAATGCATTTTTGTCACACTTAATATTGTGCATATAAGATATTAAAAGAAAGCCTGTTCTCTCCTTTGAAAAAACATGCGTAATATGAATGATATTAAAGGGGTTAAAGAGAAGCCCTTAAATTTAGGTGGAACAAACAAAAAACACAATTCCTAGGTTTTGTCTCAGTCCAGAATTTAAGGGGTTAATTAAGTGGTATTAGTGTTTAGATAACGGCTGTGAAACCTCTTTACTGATGGCCCTGGACACTCACCGCTTAATTCTCTGCCATGTATGAGTTAAAACACTATGCAGCCCTAGTTACACCTCCCCTGGCTGTGACACACACATTTTCCCTACACACTTCCTGAAAAAGAGCTCACATTTTTTAGCTTCCCTGATTTTGTGCAAGCTGATGCAGACGCTTAAAGGACCACTATAGTGCCAGGAAAACATACTTGTTTTCCTGGCACTATAGTGCCCTGAGGGTGCCCCCGCCCTCAGGGACCCCCTCCTGCCGGGCTCTAGGGGCTGAAAGGGGTTAAATTTACCTCTTTTTCCAGCCCTGGGAACTCTCCTCCTCCTTGTCGTCATCGGCTGAATGCGCATGCGCGGCAGGAGCTGCGCGCACAGCCAGTCCATAGGAAAGCATTAAAACTGGCTTGTAAAGGGTTAAACATAATGAAACACAAATATTTGTACCATTTGTACCTAGTGGCTTATTGCAAGAGATGATTGTATTCAATCATCGTACACAGGGCATTTGGGTACAGAAAAACGGTTTAAGGTCCTGCTAAATAAATGTATCATCCGAAGATAAAACAGAAGTGTACACATTTTAGTGCAGGAGTGTTTAATTTAATCATAGACCTAAATACTAGAAACCAAAATGGCAGAGAGTACCTTTGGTTTAATAAAAAAAGAATAAAAAAAAAAAAAAAAATGGGACTCTATATAAATTAATTTACATTAAAATCTAAATTTAAAAAAATAAACTAAAAATACTTGACGATAAAGGGAGTTATTGGGCAACACATTTACCAGGAGTATTAATGTCTATTCATGCAACTCCAAACTCAAGTGTCACCTCATGAGTTAAAGGACCACTACAGTGCCAGGAAAACAAACTCTGGCGTCTTCTCACTGTGAAAATCACAGTGAGAAGCGCGGAAGCGCCTCTAGCGGCTGTCAGTGAGACAGCCACTAGAGGCTGGATTAACCCTATTATAAACATAGCAGTTTCTCTGAAACTGCTATGTTTATAGAAGAAAGGGTTAATCCTAGCTGGACCTGGCACCCAGACCACTTCATTACGTCTGGGTGCCTATAGTGGTCCTTTAACTTGCATGCACAGGAGCCCAAAAGCAATGGAAACTGTGCAGCATAGTACATGTGTGAGTAAGGCTTGGGGAAGGATCAAGAACACAGGTTAGATCGCAAGATTACAAACCAGGGACGTGACAGGCAGGTGAGTATTGCGGGAAAATGAGACTTGGCAAAGTTTGACAAAAGAATTGAGGCTTGACTTCTCTGGCAACGGTTCAATCCAACTGTCTGTGCAGTGTTTCTGCTTGAAGAAACTGAGATATTAATAGAGTGCTCTTAGCTAGTTGCATCCACAGCACATGTGACACTGACAGTCCAGAACTCCGTTCTGGGCTCTCAATGTCAATTCACTGTATAAAATACATCTGTTATCAGCATCCTTACATTGTCCTCTGCGATTTTTTTTTTTGATTTTTTTTTTTATGAGCCCTCCCCTTAGCAGCCTGGAGTTTTGCTCTGAACTGGCAAAACAGACCAAACGAGAAGCCTGTGATTGGTCCGCGAGCAGTTCCTAGATTGCAGGTAACTAATACACTTTTATTTTACAGGTTTAGAGGGGTTGAGCCTCTCCATAGTGCCCTACAGGGTATTTTACACTGGAATGGTCTCCTCTCCATAAGGGTTGGAGTAACTTTTAATATCTGCTCCTACATATTTATGATACATATTTTAATGTCTCAATATTTTTCCCTAGGAGGTGCTCTAATGTACCTATTAACTTGGGAGACTGACAATTGTTTGGACAAAACAGGAACCATTCACAGGCTTAGTGATTGTAGAACAGAAACATGTTACCTATTTTCCACCTCTACAACTTCATCTTCGATATCAAAATCATTTACAATGTCATCATTATCAGGAGGGGGACCCAACACATCTTCCTGTAAAGTAAAGAGAAAAACAAAAACAATTTTTGATATGTTTGTATGACAGTGTCCCAAAATAAATAAATATTTTTAAAAAATGCAAGACATTCAAATTTGCATTATAATAATATAAATAACAGTAATAAAAAGAAAGTGTACCGAGTTTTGTTTTTTGTCAAATCTGTATTTTTATTGAGGCATGAATCAGAAATAAAACAGTATTGTGGCGACAACACCACCTCGATACAAGCAGTAGATATATATCAGGAGCAATAATAAAAGTATCAGCATGTATCATAACATGAGATGCATAAGGCTATGTGGTGGTATGGTTTGTGGTCTGTCCAACAATAAACTAGCTGGCCTCATTTTTTAAGTAAAGCAAATACGACTTAATATGTCTAAACAGCTGACTTAACAATGGGTAAGGGACTGGAATGGCATACCAAACTCGGGAATAAGCAAGTTTGAGAGAGTAATTGATGCAACGGTATGAGTATGCTAGTGGGCAAAGAGCTTGCAAATTGGGCGGGTACATGTTGTATTGCCATGCCATTCAGTATATCACAGACAGAAAATTAAATAAATCGGTAGTAACCACTCAGGGTTAAGGAACACAAGTATAACGTGACTCGTGCAGAATTTTTTTTATTTTTATTTTAAGAGGGAAACAAATAAAAAAAAGTGTATGGACGGCTGTGGAGGTATACCTCCAGATGGGAACCCAGCTCAGAAGAAGTGCGAGCGGTCAGGGCTGCAGCGTTGCCTACATGCACGTCTGGAGGTGCTGGTGAGTAAGGGCTTTGAGCCATACCATTCTAAAGTCCAGAGGCAAGGATGCTGCCAGTAGGAGGCTGCATGGCAGTAGATAGAGATAGGTGCATTGGTTTTGTACAGGATTCTATTTGGTTCTAGAAAGAAGTGCAGATAGCATCAAATGTGGCAAAGAATTTGGCCTCCCAATTGAACACGAGTGAGTCTGTCGTGTGTCAGCCATTTTGACCATGCCACGAGGGATTGCTGTGGCTGGACAGGCTGTCACGTTAGCGCTGTGTGTGCTCAGTAGTAGTTCCCCCAGTGGGGACCGGGATATACCCCACCGGTCCAGAGGGGGTGGGGGGGAGCTGTGTCACACCTGTGGTTCCAGGCTGGAAGATTGTCCGTTTCTCCCTTCCGTAGGTCCCCCCAGTAGCCGTTGCAGGCCGCTGGCTAGACAGTGTGACTCCAAGATCGGTCGAAAGTGTACCCCAGCAATCAGAATCAGGTAAGTAGATCAGCAATCAGAATCAGGTAAGTGCTTGGGTATGTCCTGGGAATGCCACTTCGCTTTAATCTTATAGAAGTTGTGTGAGGAGCACATACTAAACAAGTCCGGCGGCCATGATGGTTAGGCCCCGCCCCCAGAGTTTTGGTTTTAAGAGTAAGACAACTGTATTAAACGTATGTGCTAAATGTGAAAAAAAATCCACTGAAGATCCTGTGTGGTTCTCCTGCCATGTGCCACCATCATCAGGTTTGTTACCTACACAAATGACAGCTCTACTCTAAGGAAATCTAGCTTTCTTCATATGCATGATGAAAGCTATTCTGGTTTTACATAAACTATACAGTACATGAAAGATGGCAATTATACAGAATTTAGCTTATCCTCTGGCTTCAGTTTTCCAGAACAAGTACTGCTGGAGCTGTTGCAAATACCGTAGCATTGGTCTGTTTAAGCTCTTTAGAAATGCAAACATAAATGGACTGTAAGAGATGCAAGTGCCAACGCTGAAATCAATATAAATGCAGGCTAGAGATGGGATAGGGAGCCAATGGGCTACAATTAAGGGACATTTAACTGATTGGTTGTTGTGCCTGGAGTCCATGGGCGCTGGGTCCTGTATTAATATCAAACAGTTTACTGATGATTTAGCAGAGATGTTCTCTGGCAGCCTGCAGCAAGAGGCCTTAATTATAATATGACAAAGGCAGAGCTCTACTCCACCTCCTGCCCTAGGAATTCACACCAGGGATTGCGGCAGTGATAGGCTGGAAGCACTCAGCACTTCCTGCTACCCTTCGTATAGTGTGAAGCACAGCATAAGTCTATTTTTGTCATTTCGTTAGGCTTTATTTTTCTATATATTTTTTTAAATTACATTTTACTTTTATACTTCAATTCTTTTCAGATATATTTACTATTTTAGTATTTTTTTTTTTTAAATTCATAAATGTATTTATTTCTTTATTATTTCTTAGTTTTAATATATTCTTCTCCGACCAGATTTATTTACAATTTAGTTTCACCTGTGCACCAATTATGGGGCTTTGTATCAAGATATACTATAGTTTTTACTGATAGCCCTTTGTAAAATTTTATTTTCTCTATGGTTGTGGTGTTTTGCAAGTTCTCAATGAGGTGAGATTAGCAAATCGTGTTAAGAGACAAATTGGACTATTGAGGACAATCGGGACTCTCAAATTAGACGTTGCAACACTGGAACACAGGTTGGAAAGCATAATACAAAAGTTTGGAAATATGAAGTTGAAAGAAGTATGTAATTGCGCAAGTCACATGACCGAAAACTTATAAAAGGAAATGTGAGTAGCAATCAGCTGAACCCCTAGAGATCAAATAAGTTTTGCTTACTGTATTTGTAAATATTATTTGTCCCTGAGGAAGTCACATGACGAAACGCATTGGACAGCTTATAGTGAATTTTTTTTTTTTTTTTATTAGATATGCTGCATTTTTAACTGATATGCAAGTGAATACATTTTATACTTTTAGACTATGACAAGTGTTTACTTACATTTATTCCCTTTCTTAACTACATTGAAACAGTCTGACTCACATATTGATGGAGTGTAAATTCAACATTCTGGTTTACTATAGCATAACATTTTTTGTATTGTGATAATTAAAAAAAATATATAAAGACAGTTTTGATATCCTCTTTTTATATTGTATATATGTTCAACATTTTTAGAGCTATATATGATAAAAGAATTAAAAACGTACTTCCATTGACACAAGAATTTAAAGTTTCTATTTTCTTTTGTTTAATATTGTCTTATATCCCATACATGCCTCACAATAGCGAAAACCTTTTTTTAGCGTCTCTATTTGTATTAATTATTTATCTGTTTTATAAATAAAAGAGGTGGGGAAGCAGGAGCATGGTTCCTTAGAATTCTATGCCTCCAGGAACATGACGTAAAGCCCTCCATAGAATGACCATCTTAGACTAACAATGACCAAAAGCTTGCTTTGTAAACATAATAATAAAAATAAAAAAATGTAATTAAAAATGTGGTGGGGGGCCTGACATGCATGGCAGCTGGATGCGTTCTGAAAGACCTCCAAGCCTACAGAATCCACAGAAGAAGCAATTGGGCCTAATTTGTGTGCTGGGCAGGAGAGAGAGAGTAGCTTTCCCGCTCACTGGATGCTTGTTGACCGGTAGGGGTGATCCTGGTCCACACCCGAAGTTCCTATAGCACAGCCGGCATGCCAAGACGGTGGTGGCATCAGGCTCATTAAAGCAAAAGCGATCCTGTAATGGCAGATGCCATGTGCGCTCTAGCGCCAAACAGCCAAAATGCAGATATCCTCACCAAGCTGAATTTAAAGGATCACTTTAGTGTCAGAAAAACAAAGCGGTTTTCCTGACACAATAGTGCCCTGAGGGTGCCCCCACCCTCAGGGTCCCCCTCCCTTGGCGCTGAAGGGGTTAAAACCCCTTCAGCCACTTACCTTATTCCAGCGCCGGGCTCCCTCGGAGCTGGTGACCTCTCCTCCCCCGCCGACGTCAGCGGAGCCGAATTCACATTCGCAGCAAGTGCCACGCGCGCATTCAAAGTGTCCATAGGAAAGCATTTCTTAATGCTTTCCTATGGACGCTTTGCGCGATGGGAGGCATAATATGCCTCCAGCTTTGCAGATGCGCCTCTAGTGGCTGTCCGGAAGACAGCTACTAGAGGCTGGCTTAACCCCAAATGTAAACATAGCAGTTTCTCTGAAACGGCTATGTTTGCACCTGAAGGGTTAAAACCTGAGGGACATGGCACCCAGACCACTTCATTGAGCTGAAGTGGTCTGGGTGACTATAGTGTCCCTTTAATAATTGAGAGGTTTTGGAACAGGCTGTATGAAAGAGAGCATTCACCTACACAAAGAATGCGGATAGTTGCATTACCCCGGTGGTTGCCATCCAGAGGTATAAGAGTGAAGGCGGCTGCAACTTCCACAAGAGCCAGGAATTAGCGACTTAAGCCATATCACTCCTTACCTGCAAGGACTGCATCGAGAGACTCCTTGAGCCTTGGTCCTAGGAGAATATTCTTGGGACTTTATCCACCCATAGGAAGGCTGATGAGGTCCTCATAGGCTCACCCTGCACAAAGTGACATCGCCTCAGCAACTTCTCCAGTGGAATAATCTACTAAGTCTGTGGTCCCAAAGGGTGGACAAGCTGCCATTGGAGGGCACTGACTGAGCTGCAATGTGTTATGTTCTCTCACCTCTAGCTCAGTAATTTAGTTTATTTTCTGATGTTTATTTTGCCAAGGTGTTAGATTTAATTTGTGTTACTTGCTTTATTTCTAAAAATTTCATGGCACTACGCTAATCACTGGACCACCGCTAGAACAGAGCAGGGCGTCTACAGTGTGCACAAATATGACTGCCTAATACGATTTACTTATGTACACTATGCTTGGGCAAATTCCCTTTACCCAGTTCTAGGTACTAAAAAGCAATTCTAAGTTTCTTATCCTCATATTCAGATGCTGTTGGACTCGCTGTCTCTCCTGTTACTATTGCATGATTACTAAAAAACAAAAAAGTGCTGTTACTCTACATGACACAGCTTGACATGCCTTCTTATTAACCTATACTCTTAAAAATGTCTCTAACTGCTTGTATTTTACTTTTTGCACTGCAAAAATAAAGAATATATATATATATCTGCAAACAAAAGGCATGATACTAAAAGTCCCACAAGGTACAGTCATCCAACTGCACTACAACAAAGCAACTTCCGGTGCTAATAAAGACCCTAGGGTTCTCCAAGGTCTCTATAAAACTAGGATTTACAGCATATTTTGTTTAATGAATACACAAATCTATCGGTCTAGCTCCATAAAAATGGCAACTCTAATAAAGTGATAAAAAGCAGAAATAGTATTACCAAACTCTCCTCTCGTGTCCCCATCATTATAATCTTGGTATTTGGTTTGAGTTTCAGAACACCCAGTTTCATGTTGTTTTCTGCTGGTTTACCTATTAAAAACAATTTGTTAAAAATAATTATGACGAATTAGAAACTTACACAGCTGATAAACAGGTTTTCTAAAACACACACACACACATATACATACACACACTATCCAGATATGCAGGATGTTACAACATGTTTACATATACGTATTTATATAAATTAGGAGAAGATAAAATGTCAGCATTTCAGCTATTTTTATATATACATAGGTCATAGGAGTATCCTCATTGACAAAGCTTGATATAAACATGGGAAGGAAAACCTACCTGGTGTTGACATAAGTTATCCTCCCTATTGAGATATTGCTTGGTGCTAGGGAGTTGGTATATTACTATAGGAGATAAAATGTCAGCACAAAGAAATAACATCCGATAAAAAGGGTTTTCTGAGAAAGAGCTGTCTTTTCCAAAAAGGTTTTATGTGGCTATTTTTTTTTTAATTTATAAAATATTTTACAAGGAAGGATACATTGAGATTTCTCTCATTTCCAAGTATGTCCTAGGTGAAGATTTGATTGATTTTAAAGACAGCCAAAAAGTAGTACAAACTACGGTAAAAAAAAATAAAAAAAAATAAAAAAAATCTATAAAGCAGATTTGTTTTCTGTAAATAGCCAGTGTGTAAAGTTTGGTTGAAACGAACACATTCTCACAACATAGCTAAAGTTAAAGAGGTACTTTGAGTCACGGCTGTGGCTCATATAATACAGATTTTAACTTAAAGGAGCATTATAGTGCCAGGAAAACAAACTTTTTCCTGGCACTATAGGGTTATTAGGTGCCCCCTCCTCTCGCTGGGCTGAAGGGGTTGAAACCCCTTCAGCCAGTTACCTTAATCCAATACTGGGCTACCTTGGCACTGGTGACCTTTCCTTCCTCTGCCGACGTCAGCTCCGAATGCGCATGCGCGTCCAGAGACGCGCGCACATTCAAACTGCCCAAAGGAAAGAATTATTCAATGCTTTCCTATGGACGTCCAGCATGTCCTCAGTGAGCCTCTAGTGGCTGTCAGAGAGACAGCCACTAAAGGCTGTATTATCCCCCAATATAAACATAGCAGTTTTTGAGACACCCCCCCCCGGAGACAGGCATTGAGGGAGCATGCTCACCTGAGCTCTTCCTGCTCAGCTCTCTCGCGCACCGCTTAATGAAGCCAGGAGACGGAATATGACGTCACTCCGGCTCCCGGCATCACTAAGCAGCGTGCAAAGGAGCTGAGCATGCTCCCTCAATGCCCGCCTCGGGGAGGGCTCAAAAGTGGCCAGCTCTTGAGCCACCCAGGACACGAGGCAAACAAGGGACCTGTCTGGGCATTTGAGGGTGGCTTTTTTTGCCACCCCCTGCAAAGTGCCGTCCAAGGCAAATGCCTTGTTTGCCTCGCGGAAGATACACCACTGCTGGCACCCAGACCACTTCATTGAGCTGAAGTAGTCTGGGTGGCTATAGTGGTCCTTTAAAGGGTTGCTCCGACACTTTTGAAGGAGGGGATGTATTCTGTGTAAAATGCCCAGTTAGGCACTATGAAGAAATTGAAAGTCTGTCATTATGCACACAATATGAGAGGCAAGAACAAGTATATATGTTATGCTAGCAGCATTACTAACAAATGTATAGCTAAAAAAACAACAACAAAAAACAACTATATTAAATTGAATGAAAAGGATGAGCAGGATAATCTTTGTTCAGACACCAATATGCTGGCAAAAAATCTTGCTGATATCACGGGGGTGAAGTGTTCCCAAGCAAGGCCAGTCATGTCAAAAGAGGGGTGAAACCAGGAGTTAGGTTTTACAGTACTGTAAAATACACAGAACTTCGATCAGGGCAACCCTGGCATGTTGGACCTATCAAAATATCTCCTAAAGCAATTATTTATCTTTAAGATGATTAATATGGTAATAGATTTAAGAACAATTATAACATAAAAGGACACTTCTGATGTGGTCTGGGTACCATATGTGCCCTGTTTTAACCCTGCAATTCTGCAAGAACTTCCTTGCAGGGTTAACCGGCCTCTAGTGGCTGTCACACTGCAAACTTGTGGGGTAAAGAAAAAGTAAACTAACTTGTATAACCCCTGCAGCTGGGGAGCCCGGTCACCTAAATTTTAGTTAGGGAATTATAGCATTACGAATTTCTAATGCTATAGTGTTCCTTTAAAATGAATCTGTTGTGATAGATTAATTTTAAACGGATACTCTGAGCACCAAAACAACTTTTAATGAAGCAGTTTTAGTGGATAAATCATGCCCCTGTAAGCTCACTGCTGAATTATCTGACATTTTTTTTAAAATCACATTTGTGAACCGATACGGGTCACTGACCTAACATCTTTATTTCCCTCCCACCAGCATCTTGCTTCTATGGAGTTATGGGATATTAACAAAGGAGATACATTTTTAAATTAAACTGACTAAATTAAAACATACTGTGCAAGAAAGCAAGTTTAAACATTAGATCTCTCTTTACAGGAAAATCTTTAATATGTAGATTACATGCAGGGAGGTGTGACTTGGGGTGCATAAACAAAGTCATTTAACTCCTAAATGGCAGAGAATACAGCAGTTAGATTGCAGGAGCATAATCTAGCAAAGTCACTTCAGTTATTTTGGTGTTTATAGCGTCCCATTAAGCGATGTATAACTAACAATCTTGTACAGACTAGTGCAGAGATGTGGAAATATACATAATATATATTTATTTTTAATTTTTTTTTTTAAATGTACTCGTCCAGGGAACTAAACTGGCAGCCCAAATTTCTTGCTCAGACACACAAAATAATTTAAGATTGGGGTTCCAGGCTAGAGCACTGAACACTGACATGGTTAATTTACTAAATGTTGAATGGGGGGGGGGAGGGGACAGAGGCACAAAAATTGATCAAAAAGGGTTCTCCATTTTTTTTCATTTGGATTTAACGTACGAAACTTTTATTTTACTGAATAACTGAGTGTCTCACCTTGTGCATCACCATAGTGTGTGGTGGCTGCGTACAATGTCTGTGGTGTGCATGCAGTCTGTGTGCAACGTGTCTGGGAATGTAGAGCATGCTGCCCTAAGATTAAAGGAACCCTCAAGACAATATAAACACTTAGTCAAGTGGCTATGGTCCCTGGAGTCTGTGGGTGCCAATCGCCACATCACTGCTAAATGATTTACTCGCTGTTTAGCAGAGATCATCAGTCCTTGACAGCCTGCAGCTAGGCCTCCAATTATGATTTTGCAGAGGCTGAGATGTGCTCTGCTTTACACATACCAACGGTAGTGGGCAGTGATAGACCATGAGCATCGAGAGAGAGATACACACACAAGGCTGAACCCTGTATTATGGTAAAATGCCATTGAGTGTTTCTGGAGATATCTAAATAAACCACAAGACAGAAAGTCAAGTACTAAAAGTAGTACATGGGTTAAGGCTTAATGATAATGATTTCACAGTCAACTGTAAGCGGTATTATTGGAAAGGGGAAGAATTTAGTCTGAACTCTAAAAACCACGTAAAGTCAGAGTGAGGAGGCACATGGAATGTAAAAGTCACCAACGCTCTGATGATTCTATAACTAAAGCGTTTCAAACTTTTACTCCAATTAATACCAGCACAAAACCAATGTGTCGGAAGCTACATGGATGGGTTTCTAAGGCCAAGCAGCTGCATGCAAGTCTTACATCACAAAGTAGAATGACAAGCGCCAGATCGAGTGGTGTAAACTTAAAGCATGTAGTCACTGGAGTAGTGGGAAACATGTTCTGTGGAATGACCAATCACACTTCTCTGGTAGTCTGATGGGCGAGTCAGGGTTTGGCAGATGCCTGACTGCATTGTTCCAACTGTAAAGTTTCGGTGGAGGAGGTATAATGACATGGTGTTGTTTTTTAGGTGTTGGGCTAGGCTCCTTACTTCCATTGCAATCTTTTGGACAATGCTATGCATCCAACTTTGTGGAAGTCTCTTTTCTATTCCAGCATGACTGTGTCCCAGTGCAAAAAGCAAGGTCCATAAAGGAATGGTTGAATGAGTTTGGCATGGAAGAACTTGACTGGCCTTTTTTGATGAACTAGGACCATTTGGCATGAAAAGGAAAATAAGGAAATTCCTCTTGAGTATTAGTATATGGAAGGCTAAAATACGTAGGTGCAGTTGTTAAAACATAATGAGAAAATATATGTTACATAGATCAGAACAAAAATGTCATTCAAATCGATAAACAAATAGGCTTTATTATAGTTGCCTAAAATGTATTAACCCAAAGTTGACCTGACTGTCCAGATGGTAATTGCGAGCTGATATTGAGGTTAGATTGGGGACTCTCAATTCCTAAATAGATTTTAAAGAATGGTTTATAGCATGTTGGTCAACTAAAATAGGAAGAAGGAATCTAAGTTTTACCAAAAGACAAAGTAAAAGTGTCAAAATTGCTCTTTACAGAATTCCTTTATTGCCTTAAAGAGTGCATGTGCTCCTTATATCAGTCCAAATAATTTGTACAGGATTCTGGGAAGACATCACATGGTTCACTACACTGCAATGTAACTGCTTGAATCTAGTTAAATACAGGCAAGTTTACTCATGACGGGTGAAAAAGAAAGTGTGAACTGAAATTAAATGAATAATGTTAACTAATGATAGAAATGTAAAACTCTCGCTTACTTTATAAAGGACCTGACACCAAAATGTGTTGATGGCATGATCCCCATCTAATAAGTAATGCATTTTAAACAATACGTTATGCAAAGGAAAATGCCAACATATGTATACATTGAATGTCACACTTATATGAATTGTGCAAGCAGGTATCTGTTGTGGGCTGCACCATCATCCTCACATGCTTAATGTGTAATGCTGCCTTGAGCATATGGCCACCATTCACTCACATCAACAGTGATATTAGTAGCTTTACTTGTATGGCCATACCAGAGGTAAAATGTATCATGAAGTAAAAATATAAAGATTAATGTGTATGCTCTGCTAGAAGATGTCACCATGTTAGTCTGTTATTCTTTATGTTGCCTGGCAGAGGCACACTGCCCTGGTGAAGGGTCAGGACAGGGTAACACTGCACCAACTCCTGGCAGGGCTGATAGCAGGGTAACACCATACCAACTCCTGGCAGGGCTGATAGCAGGGTAACACCGCACCAACTCCTGGCAGGGCTGATAGCAGGGTACTCCTGGCAGGGCTGATAGCCGGGTACTCCTGGCAGGGCTGATAGCCGGGTACTCCTGGCAGGGCTGATAGCCGGGTACTCCTGGCAGGACTGATAGCCGGGTACTCCTGGCAGGACTGATAGCAGGGTACTCCTGGCAGGACTGATAGCCGGGTACTCCTGGCAGGGCTGATAGCAGGGTACTCCTGGCAGGACTGATAGCCGGGTACTCCTGGCAGGACTGATACCCGGGTACTCCTGGCAGGGCTGATACCCGGGTACTCCTGGCAGGACTGATAGCCGGGTACTCCTGGCAGGGCTGATACCCGGGTACTCCTGGCAGGGCTGATAGCAGGGTACTCCTGGCAGGACTGATAGCCGGGTACTCCTGGCAGGGCTGATAGCCGGGTACTCCTGGCAGGGCTGATAGCCGGGTACTCCTGGCAGGGCTGATAGCAGGGTACTCCTGGCAGGACTGATAGCCGGGTACTCCTGGCAGGGCTGATAGCCGGGTACTCCTGGCAGGGCTGATAGCCGGGTACTCCTGGCAGGGCTGATAGCCGGGTACTCCTGGCAGGACTGATAGCAGGCTGTCCTAGCACTCACCCTTATATTTGAGACCCAGCAGTTTCTGGCGCTCTGGTAGGACCCCAGTCAGGCTCTTCAGAGAGTGCTTGAGATCCATCACAGTGTCCTCCTCGGACAGGGCAGACAGGGGGAACTCCTGGCCGCCCCATTTGATGATGAGGGACAGCGCCATGCACTCGGAGATAACGTGTCCTGCTCTGACAGACACAATGGAGCCGCCGTTTAGGCTGATGTCACCCCTAGCGGCTCCCAGGAGTCCGCTTTCATGAGGCACCGGTAAACACCGCTTTCAAAACACAACCTGCCTTACAGGAAGTGACGTAGCCTTGACGTGCCGGGTACGTCAGCCACTGGGTCTCTATGGCAACACTTCCTCAAACTAGTGAAAGCCGACAAAATGGCGTCGGTCCTTTGTGAGACGTTATGTATGAGAATAACAACACTATGACAAGCGCATTGTATAATAATGATCACAATATAAAATGACGCACTATGCGAATATGAATGTGGACGGCTTGCTATATTTACAAGCAGGCTCTGCTCTTAAGTAGTGATACGGTGATATATAACCTGTTTGTTCTATGGTGGCTAACATTTTTGGCTTCCGAAAGGGCCAGTGACAGGAATGGGTGGAAATCACGTTTGCTGCCTCCCTCATATTCTCTCATGTATTTACCATATTTTTTTTACAATATTTTTGCCTCTGTAGTTTCTCATTCTGCCAATCTCTCTTCCTGTTTTTCTCTCAAGGGGGCCCGGCCGCTCCTGCGACCCGGTATGTACCCACTGGGACAGCCTCTTCCCCTCGGGGGCCCAGGAGCCGACCACCCCAGGGCCCCCCGAGGCTCGCCCTGCTGACACCCGGAAGGCGGGTGGCCAGTCGGGCAGGCCGGCGCGTGAGGGAGCACTCAGTGCTTCCTCTTCAGCTCCCTCGCGCACCGCACTGATACCGGAGCCGGAAGATGACGTCATCTTCCGGCGCCGGCATCCCTACGCGGCGCGCGAGGGAGCTGAAGAGGAAGCAGTCAGAGCAGAGTACTCCCTCGCGCGCCGGCCAGACAGCCCGCCAGCCAGCCCAGCAGCAGCACTGGACCCCAGGGAAACCCCCCAGCACTCCAAAAGGTAAGGAGGCTGGGGGAACCAAATTTAAAAAAAAAAAAACGTGTGAGTGTTAATGTTAGAGTGTTAGAGTGAGTGTGAGAGTGAGTGTTAGTGTGAGTTAGAGTGAGTTTGAGTGTTAGAGTGTGTGTCTGCTAGTTAGTGTGTGAGTGTTAGAGTGAGTGTTAGTGTGTGTGTCTGCTAGTGAGTGTGTTACTGTGTGTGTGTGCATGCTAGTGAGTCTGTTTGATGTCTGTTAGTAAGTTTGTGTTTGTCAATGAGAGTGTATGTTTTGTAAGTGAGTGTGTATGTATGTCTGTCGCTGACTGTGTCTCTGTCAGTAAATGTGTGTGTCTGTTAGCTAGTGTGTATGCGTCTGTAAGTGAGAGTGTGTGTGTCTTCAGCACTTACCTTTCTCCAGCGCCGGACTCCCTTGGCGCTGGGGATCCCTCAGCCTCTCAGCTCCAAATGCGACCGCGCACGCATTCAAACCGCCCATAGGAAAGCATTACTCAATGCTTTCCTATGGACGTTCAGTGTGCTCCTCTAGCGGCTGTCAGTGAGACAGCCACTAGAGGCTGGATTAACCCTCAGTGAAACATAGCAGTTTCTCTGAAACTGCTATGTTTTCAGCTGCAGGGTTAAAACTAGAGGGACCTGACACCCAGACAACTTCATTGAGCTGATGTGATCTGGGTGTCTGTAGTGGTCCTTTAAGTGTGTGTGCATCTGCATGCACTGGCGTATATACCGCGGGTCGCAGGGGTCGCAGCCCTGTAACCCCTGACCAGGTGCCCACCGCCATGTGTTGCCCCGGGGCACGGATCAGTTTTCGCACCGGGGCCCCATGGGTCATGTGTACGCCACTGTAAGTAGCCTTATAGAATTTAGAACTCTACCAGCTGCTTATGTTATAATATGCAATAATTTGATAATATTTTATAACCAGTTAGTGTTCTAAAGTGATCTAATAAGTGAAATAAGGGTGGAAGTGACTGAGGGGAATAACAATAGATAATAGAACATTGTCGGCATTAACCGCAACCTTGAACATCTCCAGACCAATTGTAACACCCTGGATAGTCCTTTTCGGCATCCAATGAAAGGAGTATGGAAGGTGTAACAAACCTCCTGTATCCTAAGTGAAATGTTCGTTCAAAGTCTCCCGAAAACCTGCAAGGTCATGTAATTAACTAGCTCTAACCGTTGCATACCCAAACATCAGTCGAGACTTGATGAAGGGTACAAAAGGAATGTTTTATTGTGGCTAAATGGCCTGCTTTTATACACAGACCCCCAGCATGGAGTCTCCAGCCAAAACATAGGTAAAACACGCCCAGGTGTCTCTGTTTCTGGAAGATAAATGAGTTTGCTTTGCTTTAAACTATCTCCCAGGAAATAAAGGTACAATTAATGAAACATAAAACACACACAATATTAATAGTAACCCCCACTAGTCTTATATCCCCAGATCTGAGCGCCCACGTTGTCCAAATAGCGCTCAGATCCCAATATTACAGCCTAATCGCCATCGGGGTAAAGCGTTGACCGACCGCACACATGGCAGCTGCACAAATTAGTTCCATACAAAAAGTGGTAGCAGTCGGTCAGCCTTCGGGAGTTCCTACATGAAAAAAAACCCAAATGGTTCCCCTGGCTCGTAGGGAGCGAATGTTCGCCTCGTTCTGGAGGTTCTTTTAACCGAACAGCGCTCTCCTGGCTTGTCGGGGAAGGAAGTAGGCTGTGGTACAAAGTTACCAAGGTTTGCGGGTTAAAGTATCCATCTTTGAGTTCCAGGCACTCAACGACCTTGTACCGCTGCCTGCATTTGGGAGACACCCAGAGAGAGCACTTCAGGTTGTGGTTGTTTTGAAGATAACATAAAATGAAATAAACACAGTATCAGCGCTTAATTGATATACCCCTATATTTCATATAAGGGTCAACCACATCAGGTATCTTGAGAAAGCTCGTTTGAATGAGCGAAACGCGTAGACCGTGTTTCTGGCGGGATTTTTGAATTTGGATAGACTGCAGTAATATCGGTCAGTTGGCGTTTCAGTGAGGATCGATCCGAGTGCACAGGACCGGTCTGGGGTTGAACATCCACGGAGCGATAACTTTATATTCATCAACCGACATTCTGCATATCTATGCTTTTATTGTGAACCTTAGAAATAAGTTTCACCAATTTTTAATGTAAGAGTTCCTCTTAAGGGGGGTTTACCGTGTGGGAAATAAAGTGCTGAAACTGTATCACGCTATGTCAGTATCTTTTTATTAAAGGTTGGATACACATAGAGACAAAGTTTTTCTACATCAATTTCTGTTTCAACTATCAAATCCCTGCGGACATTTGAAAACACCCCATTAAGACTGCAATTGGAACATTTTATTTAATTTAACATATCTTTGTGGTTGACCCTTATATGAAATATAGGGGTATATCAACTAAGCGCTGATACTGTGTTTATTTCATTTTATGTTATGTTCTAAAACTTGGGAAGGTTTTTAGTGTATCGGGCAGCTTTGTATATTAACTTTTTCTTGTGGATAATTATAATTTGAAGCACTTGCTTAGAAAATCCACTATATTACTTATTTTCTTTTGCGCTCTCTATAAATTAGTTTTTTTGTTTTGAAGATAAGCCAGGTGGGTGGTCTGTGTTCTGTAGGTACAAGTACCTAACCAAGGGGAACAACTTGGGCTCAGAAATAAAGATAGTGTCTGGGCATTTTGTCACATTTCTCCCCCTACCCAGTTCCATGGTGCGGCATACCTGCCTAGACCCTGACGGGTTGGCTTGGGGATGTCTGGGAGTAGAAATCAGTTCTCCAATTTGGTCTGTCGGGAGAGCCCATCCGCGTTGCCCTTCTGCTTGCCTGGTCTGTATTGCATGTTAAAGCTATACGGTTGGAGGGCCAGGCTCCAGCGTAGCAGACAGCGATTATCTCCGGCCTCCAGGTTCAGCCAGATGAGTGGGTTGTGGTCTGTCATTAAAGTGAAGGGACATCCATGGAGATAGGGCTGCAGCTTCTTTAAGGCCCATACAAGAGCCAAGTATTCTTTCTTCATGGTGGAATAGCTGACCTCTCAGGGTAAAAGTTTCCTGCTGAGTATGCCACCGGTTGTTCCATTCTGTCGTCCCCCACCTGGCTTAGCACTTCTCCCAGCCCAAACATGGAGGCATCTGTGTGAATGAGAAACCTTTTAGTATGATTTGGGGCAGCCAACATAGGTGCTTCACTTAGCGCTGTCTTTAATTTTTGGAAGGCATCGTCGCACTCCGAGGACCACACTACTAGCCTAGGGAAGAACTTTTTGATGAGGTCGGTGAGGGGTTGGCCAGGGAGCTATACCCTGGTACAAACGTTCGGTAATAGCCTGCTGTCCCTAGGAAAGCTAACACTTGGGTCTTAGTACAGGGTTGAGGCAGGTTTAAAATACCCTTGACTTTGTCAGGTTCGGGGTGTTGCTTTCCTGAACCTACTCTATGGCTAAGATTCTGTACCTCGGCCCTACCGACATAACATTTGTTGGGCTTCAACGTAAGTCCTGCTGCCCAAGTTCCACAGATATGTGTTTGAGACGGTCTTTCCATGTGCGACTGTAGATCGCAATGTCGTCTAGGTACGCACAGGCAAAGTCTTGAAATTCCTCCAAGAGTTGGTCAGCCATTCACTGAAAAGTAGCCCGGGCATTCTTTATCCCGAACGGCATAACCTTGAACTGGTAAAGCCCGAACGTCATTAAGAAGCCAACTTAGGAATGGCCTCCGGCTGGAGAGGGATTTGCCAATAACTTTTGCACAAGTCTATTCTAGTCAAGTTATTCCCCCCCGGCCATACAATCTAATAGTTTGTCTATCCGGGGCATGGGGTAGGCGTCAGTAACCGTCCTGTCATTAAGTTTGCGGTAGTTGATTCAAAAGCAGGTCGTACCAGCACTACAGGGAAGGTTTTATAACCCGTAGCCTTAGCATTTCTTGGCTGTCCTTCAACTTGGTCTCCCTAACTGCATCAGGGATGTGATATGGCTGCTGCTGCAGTGGGGCTTGCCCCTAGGTCTCTAGCCAGTGGACTGCTATGGTGGGGTACCCTGGTAGGGCAGAGATCATTTCGCTGTATCCCTGGAGTAGTTAGGAGACTTCATCCTTTTCTATCGGGCTAATTTTTTTCCCCTAGGCTAACCTGCTCCACACTCCCTGTGGATGTGGCTAGCT